TGACGGAAGTTGAAGAACTTGTGCGTTCGTCTGCGCCGCAAATCCCACCAACAATATTCAAGAACGAGCAAGACATCGCTGTTCTATGAAGTTCCCCGACAACAAACTCTGGTTTTAGATGCAATGTTTCACAGATAAAGATAATTCGATTTATTTATTTAAAGAACGATGCAATTTTCGTGAGAACAGGTACTTCTGATTGGCTATCGCCGGCATAAAGCTTCTCATTCTTAATAAAATCAATTCTTATCGTTTCAGTTTGAATTGCTATTATGATATTTTCTTTTATTTTTACTTCAGCAAGTTAACTGGGGAACCTGGCACATCGTTGAGTAAGATATTTTAAAATAAGACTTATTGTAAATTAACAGATGTAAATATCTGTTTGTTACTGTACTAATTGTAGCGAAGTCGCTCGTGCGTGACACAGATTAGGGAGCGAGCCTGTGAGATTTAATTTCAGCTCGTGGTAATTTTGGTGTTTCATAGTTTGTTTTACCTGTGTAGACAATATTTTAAACATCAATATATATTTTTAAAAGGTTCAAACCGCTAAGAAAGTAAAACCCTCATGTTTTATGTACAAACTTTGGCCGAGGAGTTAATTTATTCAATAGTGCATTGTTATGTAGAGTTGTAGATTTCAAAGGCGCTCAATTGGAATTTTATCGAATTTTGATCGGCGTTCATGCAAAAGTGATACTAGATCCTAAAGATTTAAAACCGTAGACCTAAAAATCAATGACTGAACTGTCTTTGGTTATAATATCAGAAGATTTGAAGAACTACCGGTCAGCTTTTTTCGTCGCTGAGTTTGGATTACTTTACACCTTCGCGTAAATGAGAAAAGTGTGTCTTCTTAATCGGGTCTCAGTTCGCTCACAAATAAGCAGAGATAAAAATAATTCCCATGGTTTGACTAAGGAAGAATCAATGTATTCAATTATACTTAAGAAAGATTCACAGCTATGTAAACGTCTGTGTAGCGAGAAGCTGAAAAGTGTAAAATTTCGAGTTTCCGCCAGGTGAAATCCGAGCTTCCGGTAGGGTGACCGTTTTTCGTGGTTTTCTGCCGTTATATGGAATATTTCAAAAAACTAATCTCATATCCTTCAGTTACTTACCTAGGCCTTCAAACTGACAAAGTATGAGCGAAATCGATTTTTTGACCGTGGCCACGATTTCTTTGATTTTTACTGACAATCACTCTTAAGTATGTCGACCTACAAATCAGTTAATTAGCCAGTCGTATGATCATTTAATCAATCAGCTGATCGATAATCAGCTAACCCAGTCATTCAGCTGTCCATCGCGAAAAAAAGCAAAGATCACCTGTGGGCTCCCATAAGAAGACTCCTGTCAGATCCACGAGGGTCAAGGCCTGACTTCAGATGCCACAGATCCACGCCAGTCTCAACAAACACTGATACGAATGAGGTGTCTTCAGAGAAACAGGGGCAGGTGCCACTGGCTGCAAGGACAGTTTTGCAAGAGAGAATATCATGGGTCGTTATTACAGGTGGTATAATACAACGCATGAAAAGAAATTAAGAAGCTAAGTGATGCAGGTAAATCCTTTGGAAAAACTTCACCTAAAGGTGCTCAGCACAGTAAGGTTTAAGTGAAACATTTTTATCATTTAAAGTCCAATGAATGTAGCAAGAGTATCTAAACGTCATCCCTATTAAACAAATGTCCAATATTCAGCCAATAAGAGATAATTTTTTCTATTAATGATGGTCATAGGAATGAGTGGAGTCCAATTCGGTCTGTAGTAATGCGAGTGGTTGGCAAAATCGGACTTACTTAATCGGACATTGATCAAACTATGTAAAATTTGAATAAAGAAACTAGATGTCAGTTACAAGTTTATAAAAAAGATAACTCGGCGAAATGCACGAGAACAGCGAACGCTCATGACGCTTACTATCCACTTACACTGACATGAGGTGTTTTAGCTGCCCAATTAAAAGTATGACGCGTACACTGTCCTATTAGTGCTCAAATGAGGCTGGTGATAATCAATCACGTCGAAGAATGCTGTTATAGTTTTGATTTAGAGGAAAAGGGAACCACATAGCAATTGCAGTTTTACCTCCGTTGCCAGAGGCAGGGTGTAACCGATGCAGTCGGTGTACAGCTGACTGTGCCTGCCAAACCCATGTCTCTGTCAAGGAACAACTTACTGCTAATCTATTGTCATTGGAAAACGTATACTCTTGAACGGAACTGTTGTGATTCTGAAGAAGGCAAAATCAGATAAGGATTTCAAACATACCGGTCAGAAACTTTTAGACTTGTCTAACAACAAAAATCTTTACAGGTGTCCATTAAAGAGGTGAGTATGTTTATTACATGCAAAGCTAGAGTTGACTTTATGTTACAATAATATGTATCTTTTGGCAAACAATAAGACCCATGTCTTTGCTTGTCTCAGTTACTCTGATCGTTTCATCTAATTCGTTGCATAAAGCTTCAAATCGTAGAATTTAGGAAGTACATATGTTCTCATTTATTAAAATCTACATATACTACTTTATTTCAGCTTACATTGTTGACAATCTAATTTCTACTTGTGGGCAACCGACTCGGTTAAACTGATCAACTTACCGGTAATTCGACTACTCTGGGCGAGGGCATGTTTCTCGTATCCCACAGCTGAACAGTGCTGTCATCTGAGGCTGTTGCAATTAAGGGATGACCGCTTTCTCTGTTCCCGATACAGCAGGTTCGAATTTCACCCGAGTGGCCATTCAGTGTTTCCCACTCCGGACTTTTATCATACGGTTTGGGTGCCATGCGTAATACCTTCAATGAGAATGAAATATGGTAAAATGTTTTATTTACTGACGCGTGTATAGCTAGAACAAAGAACAAAATCTGATTCCCTGAGAGAAATCGAACCTTGGACCTCGGATTCCGCGCTTCGATGCTCTACAACGTGGCTACAAGGACCAACATGGTGAGCAAAGCAATCACTAGGTTTAAATTTTGACAGAATATAAAGATGAATAGAAAAATGAAAGAAGATCTTATCTCTTCCCGTCAACGATGGCCACAGAGAGTCAGTATTTCCAGGTGAATCATACCTGGAGATGTTCCTTGTCTTTGAGGTCCTGAGTAGCAATGTGGCCGAAGTCTGGAGAAAACACGACAAACTCAACACCCAAACAGTTCATGGTGAGTGTCTTCAGGAGTTTTAAAGTAATATACGTAAGTTTTTAGAATACTAGGAACTTACATAATTATTTTTGATCACAATGCACTTATAATTCAGATGGCGAAAAAAGCTCAAATCTGGAGACCTTTAACTTTAAGAGAAACACACCATAGATAACATCAAGACAATAGAGTAGGTAAACCGGTTGTGACAAGGTTTGACTCCTCCTACCCCACCCCCCTCCCACACCCTCCTCTTTTTTCCTTTGAAAAATCCCAGTTACGTCCCCTTTCCTTCGGGTATCACTTCAAATTGATTGTCTTTCCCCTTACCAGTCTCTTCTTGCCGTTTTCTTTTAAACCTTTTTTATATTTTTTGAAAATATTAAAAAAAAAACAAAACAAAAAAAAAACACGCACATAACGATTACGGGGAAGAATAACGAGCCTACATCCACCCCTGTTAATATCTTCTCAGTCATTTTATCTCCCAAGCCTTGCCTTTTTTGGTACTGATAATGCTCGCTTTAACGTCAATTTCTTAGTCAACATTTATCTCTTGTAGAGTTGTCCCTAGTTAAAACAATTGTAGGTGAAATCAATGATGCACGTGTCGACGAATAAATAAATATTTAAATCAATATATAAACGTTGGAGGGTAGGAATTGCTAAAATTGAGTATTTATAGTCTTGCTAATAATCTTCACGCGGCAAAAAAGCGTAACGCACTGTAAATTGGACGATAAAAAGTTTTATGATGCACATCCAATTGCAATTAAAATATTAGAGACCCTAATTTAAAGGAGTTGTATCAGCGAATTAACCGTATAAGCTGGCCCGTTTTCCTTGCTGCCTCGTAGGCATATATATATTGGGGCAGTGTCATGTAAGGGTAGGTAAGAGTTGTAAATATTATACCTTCATGTTGGCCTCCAGTGCCCAGGCCGTAACGGACAATAGAGTGCGAACCAGCAACTGCAAACCAGTGGCACTGGTCTACAGTCCGGGCCATAACCATTTCTGGATACTTGATGACGTCACCAATATGGATGTCGTAGTGGGACCTCGAGGAAACACATTCATTACTTTAATTCGAGCCCTAGCGACTTTGTTTCCGAGCCATATCCCATGAAACCTTGGAAAAGTACAGAAGACAAGTAATCACACACAACAAGCATAGAATGGATGGCGGTCGCGTTGACAAGACAGAAAAATTCAGTTGAAAAGTCGGGTGGAGGTGCTTGTTGCGGAGGGCTCGATCAAGGAGTAACCCCTCTTTAGTTGAGGTTTTCAGGTATGCAACACTTTTTTTGATTCCTAAAAAAAATCTTTTCAAAAACTAGAATAAATTTGCTTTCAATTTGTCAAAATTCCAATCGAGTGCACGAGGTTTTTGCTCGAGTGCACGGATGTTAAAAGTCTGTTAGTGTGCTAACTACCAGTCGGATTCCTTTGTTGAGATCCATCGGAGTATCGTGTAAACCATAAATTTTAACCATACTTTGTGGCCGGGCAATTTAAAGTAAAATGACAATTATTTATCGGACCTTTATAAGCCTACATTGTGAATTTCAGATCAGGCCAACGGCATGGATGAACACATTCAGTATCTGGAGACACTTTGTCGTCGTTGTGGCACAAATCTGCCGCGGACCAGGGTCAGTGCTACAAACAAAGAATCTTTCAAATCGGAGCTCTGGATGAAATTTCGAATTAATGTCGATCTCGACAGCCGAGAGATTCATCCATCCTCTATCTGCACGGGGTGCAAGCGATTTCTGTATAGAGTTCGCACAGTTTCCGATCCAGAGGAAGTTGCCACAAAGAAGGAACCACATGTGTGGAGAAGCCACACCGAGGACAATTGTCCTTGTAGGGCCAGCAAATCTAAAGGAAAAGGGCGTCCCCGTAAGATTTCCAAACAGCCCTTGGAATGGAAAGCAACAGAAACTTGTGGAAGCGAAACCGAAAGTGGCGAGGACAACGAATCAGAGGGGGAAAAAAAGTATTGTCTGGGGTTCAGTGCCGTTATGCACAACATTGTGTTGATGGAAAAAGAGGAAACAGTTACATGTGCCGGAAAGCTGGCAGAAAACTATAATTTCATCTTCTTGGACAGAGATAACATGCTATATGAAATAAATAAGCTAACTACTGAAGATAGACTGTTGCTTACTTGAACTATTTTTCGCTCAGAAAAGGAAAAAACATACATAACAATAAAACATACAAGAATCTAACTTCTGTGTTAAATGTGACCCCTCATACATGGATTCAGGCCAGAAACTCAGTTTTGACATGTGCAATCAATGCCCTTAGCCACGAAAGTGCCAAGCCAGTTCATAAGGCAGTAACTGTCGATCAGCTTTATTCTATTGTGCAACCCTCTTTTGTAAGTCCATTGATGTTTGCTACAAATTTCTTGGTATACTCTGTGACACGTAGTAAACTTGCCCTTAAAATCCATGGTAAGATCCACCCCGCTGGAGGAAACACCACTGTCAAAACCTGGCTAAATAACTTAACAATGGAAGTCCCTCAAGTTCCCTCTGGTGATATTCTGACAGCTATTGACAATGACCAGGTGCTTATTAGGAAGTGGACTGTGCGTAAAGATAACAGGGCACAAATCAGTGTACTAACAAGTGTCTGTGTGGCACCTATTTATCCCTATGGAACATTGCAGTTGGATTCAAATCTTGCTCCAGGGTAAGAAACTCATTTGAAAAAATGGTCAATTAGTTATTGAATACACAAGGATTTGTTTTGTTTAATGAGCACAATCTTGGACAAGTCATTTCCTTTCCGAAATTGTTGCCAGCATATTTGAAGGTCATGTATATGTAATCAATTAAAATGTGCATCATTACCATATTAAGGTACAGTAAATTTGATAGACTATAACTTTCAGTGTTTTTCGTCTTTTATTTTTATCAAGTATTTAACAGTTATTCCTTGAGATTAAGCATGATAGGGAGAGGTTCGTGCTATCAGCCAAAACCTGAGGCAGATAACACAAATTATTCAGTAGTTATTGTTTTATTAGGCATAAACTTATAAAAACAAGAGCACATACAAGAAACTAACCATGCTAGGTCAACTTGTAAACAACTCAAAATATAAGCTTAAAACTTTGATGTTGCAGCACATTCCACAAGTTTCCAGAATTGAGATAGCGATATCAAGTATTAATAATTTGGCTCTCTCTTTTAGAACATGGTACAACCGCATTGAACAAGCCAAGACATGTCAAGATGAGCGGGAAAAGCTGGCAAAGGCATGTTCAGATTCAGAACCTGATAATGAAATAATCCGCCAAGAGGTAATTATACATTTGAAATTACAGGTGTACAAGAAAGGTCATCTTCTTGTAGATGTAGTTTACAATTAGGAAAACAAACACTAGGAGAAAAAAAACATTGTGCAAATTTGAGGCTTAGCCAGCAAATTATGGATTATACTATGCCTGTTTTAAGGACAAGCCTACTTTTGTGAACATGTGTAAAGTTAAAAGGCAATTCTTTCAATTGACTAAAACATTTTGTAATTGAATTTTTTTTGTTGTACTCAGAACAAACGACTAATCCATGAGTTACTTCAGGAGTTACTTAAAGAGCAGACAAAAACTGGGGATGTGTGGCAAGATGATGTTGACATCAGAGTAGATGACATTAAAGCCAAAGAAGGAAAGCGTGTTTGTCCTGTATGTCAAACAACAATGGATAGGAACAAAAGAAAATGTGTAAATCTAGATTGCAGGGTGAGCCTGAAAGATGCTGAGAAAGAACTTCAAGGCAGTGACATCCTAGGTACTACACTGGTTGCCCCCATCCGTCAGTACCGACAGAGAGTGAGAGAAACACAGCTGGGATTCATCATTGATCAGAATGAGGAGGCACATGTCATTGTAAAAGAAAAATTTTCTGAGTGTTATGATGAATTCCAGCATGTGCCATCAAACCATATTGATCATCCAGTCAACATTGTGACAAGTGATCCTGTATTTATAAATCCAAATTCTCCGAATGCACTCAAGGAAGTTTTACGTAGAGTTGGCATGGCTGCAAAGGTGAGGTGGTATCATCCCAATGATCCAAATGCTCGGCAATGGCTTAATGTTACCATGGATGGTCTACCTTACCTTGTGTGCAGGAGAGTGGTCAATGATGTTTTCCTCTGTACAGAATGTGGTGAGGAGGTCATGGAGGAAAGTGTGAATGAACATTGCATTAAAGTTCATCAAGGACAGAAATGCTGTGCTGTAAGATCAAGGTCAAAGCTCCACGTGGAACACCGCTTGTTGTTCAAACTGAAGACAACAACAAGTATGACCCGCATGCACTGGCTTGTCTTCTTCCACGAGAAATGGAACGCATTCCAGAGGCTCTACGAGAAGTCCAGATTTTCAGCAAATCGCAGAGAAAGAAATACACTTTAGAAGATGTCAAAGGGCAGCAGATCGGCAGCATTCAGCACTTCCTAAACGTACAGCTGTATGGTTTGCTCCGATGTGGCAAAATAACCAGGATTGAAGGGTAAATTACTGTTTTCTTGCCTTACTGTTACTTTTTTGTAAAGGCTTGATGGACTGAAATTGATACATGTCTATTTAAAAATCGGAGAGAAGCAAGATAGTGTCTTTCCTCGATCTATACTGGAGACAAATGAAATTGTCCCGATTCCGCGATCTCACACCTTTCTCGTCCCTATTGTTATCAGTGCGCGTTATTTGGTTCAGCCTTATTAATTTGGTTTTCTTGTAACCCAAAATAGGGAAATCAACGGAGAACCGACGATAACATCGAGGCCAAGCTCTACCCAGAAGTTCTCCAGATACAAACAGGCTGGCGGAGGAGCTTTTATTCCCGCGACGCTCTTGGTGGAAGGACCACAGCGTTACAAAGAATTTGTACTGGAAAGAATCTGCTGTACTCTACCAGAATGCGAGAATGTCCAAGACATGCATGTTGAATGTTTGAAATAAATGAATATGTTTAATGTTATCTTACGTCCAGTCTTTATTAGCGAATTTTGTTTCGGCTTACTACCGCATTACAACATGGCCGCCACAAAAAAAATAATCACCTTCTTCTCGTTTCCAGTACCTCTCGGCCAAATTTGCTTTGTTTTGGTTTTGATCTCACCCAATCACAAAGCTCGAAACCGATATCCAGAAATGGTTACGGCCCGGACTGGTCTATGCTGGCAGGAAATGATATCACGTGACATTCACAATGCTTTGTCATGATGGTATAACCACTTGCGACCTACAGAGAAAGGATGTGAAAAGCTTGACTATGATTTACTTCAAACCAAAACAAAGGAATTTTTCATGAAAGTATGTTTAAAACGATATCATTTGTGAATAAATAATTCAAACTGGAAACAATTCACTAAAAAAGGAAGCTGTTTAAGCTATGTATGAGTTTCATAAGGGAAAAGAGGAACCCTGCATATTATTTCCATTAACACAGAATTATAGCATTTAACTATTACATTATCGATCCTTTTTTGTCATATTTATGCCTCATGCTAACTAACCATAAATACACGCAACATACCATCTGTAGTGTAGGTGGCCAAATATTTGCAGCCTTTGAAGAAAACACATTTCCCGACTCCAGCTGGATGCTTAAATGATGCTACGTTGATCTTACGAGACTCCATCTTCGTTAAATCTCTCCAAAGAGTGATCTTGGCGCCTTCAGCTTTGTTGGCTGTTTCCAAATATTTCTTGGTTAAGAGAAGAAAAACAGTCAAAAACAGAGGAAAATTTCAACTTTTTTCGAAAACATCCCTAATTCAATTTTCATTAGATGGTTGCCCTTTAATCTTGGGGCCCTCTAATTACATATGGCAGGAATCAATGTCAGTATCTGAGCAACTGTGCCGCACCTACCCCTCCCCTGACCCGGCAATAGTCAAATGATAACCAAGAGAATATAAACTGTTTATAATCTTCTGCTGATAACAAGTTAGGGTTCGTAAATGTCGGGTTGGGGAAAAGGGCATTGGGCACTTGTTAAGATACTGAAATTGATTCAATCATACAGAAATTGCCGGGAGCTTTAGAGGAAACCTCATTTTAATTATATCCAAAGTATATTCTAACGTAGGTCCAGCAAAACAAGTAACGCTGAGCGTAAACTTCTAATATACAGCACATAGATAGCGGTGTATCTCACCTTGGCCATAGTAGCACAATATGAAATATCAGGTTCATTGAGACAAAGCTATGGTACAAGCTCGGGAAACTGACTCAGCTGTTGTGCATTGGCTCGAATGCAACTGTATACGTCTTCTATTATAGCTGACTTGTCATTGCTGCACTTCAAAGAGGCCTGGAAATGAGGGATGTGAAGAAAAATGTTCAAAGATACGTCAATACAAACGCGGTGATCTAGTAGACCACAAACCATTTTGACTTAGTAAGCAGCTAACTAACTAACAACAACAACAACAACAACAACAACAACAACAACAACAACAACAAAACAGGTATTGCCTTGAATACAAAGTATTGTCTAGCGATCGTCCTAAGAGGAGCAGTTGAAATTAACGAAGAGACAGCTGAAGTCATCATATCGAACATAGCTAAAGCAATAGTATAAAATTCGTGATGGTGTAGTCTGATCGTCTGGTTGAGCGTAGTCCTAAGAAGTACATTTGTTGGTGGTGATGACTGGCGTTCGGCTACCTGAGCGGAAGTCGTCGTGATTCGTGTCGGTCGTGATTGGTAAAACCATTCACGGTATAACATTAATTAAGATCACTGACTACACGTGTTAAGAATCTCTAAAATCAGCGGAATTTTAAAAATCCAGAAACCTAAAAGCGAGAGTCACCAGCTTTTCCATTCAGAAAAACCTACCTCAGAGAGTTCAAGGGTCAGTTCGAATGCTTTGCCGGCTTTACACTTTGCCATCAGCTATGGAATCTGACACACAATCTTGAAGATAATAACAATCCCTTAGATTGCGTCACTATTCTTAAGAGTGTTGATTAATCAGCATTATCCGGTCATTAATGCAGAGGTTTGTAGCCATAAGTTTGGTGTAATTGTCAATAAACTGAAAACAAATTGTTAGAGTTATTACAGTCAGAGCCCTTATTGCCTTATTGGCTGGCAAGGCAATAAATAGGAACGGCAATAACTTACGTATTGTCAAGTGCGACCTTTCCTCGAGAAACATATAATTACGAGGGTCTCCTATGTTTTGCAAACCTCAGGTTTGCATGAATTGCTTCTCTGATTCACCATATATGAAAAGTGAAAAAAAGTTTGTATGGAAATAAAAGCGTCATTTGGAAATATAAGTGATACTAATGGGCAACAGACCTCCACAAATTCATTCCACATGTCACATCTGATCAAATGGTAAGGTAACTCGCTTAGCTTGCGCAAGTTGTATCTTGGTCCAGTCTCTTCATCTTCGGAATCCATTCTACTTTCTGAGACTTCATTACTTAATACCAGTGGCTAATCTGACACCGTTCTAAACGCATTTCGTATTGCTCCATCTTTGTCTGTATATGGCTTGGCTTCCCGCGCCCACCTTAACGTAGAAAATGCTTGAATCACCCTCCAGGGTTAAGTGGCTTAGACAGAGCACGATCAATGGAATGCCTTGCCTATTTATCTCAAAGTGTTTCTCAGCTTTGATTCTTAAAGAGGTTAATTACATGTAAAGAGGCACTACTGAGAACATTGATTATGGGAAAGATATTGTTATTCTGTGAATGATAAAGGCATACTCGGAGAAAAAGAAATCCGAGTGCTCACAACAGGAATCGAACCTACGACCCTCCGATTATTACCGGCCATAGGACACTGGTGATAGGCTTGGCTGTTCAAGAAGGACCATGGCGACATTTGTTATTCTCATTACAAGAAATCTGGTTTGAAATATGCCGATTGAATTTAGTACCCTACCTCGGCATTTTCACTCCGCTCTTACCTGGTTCTATTTACCACTAAAACGGCAACGGCTGTCTTAAACTCATAAACCAGGTCAGCCCGTCATACTTTTTTCTCAGATATAAATCGCGCGGTGTTCAAGGATTTTCCTAAACACTTACTTTTGATGATTGTGTCACAATGAGAATGCCTGAACCATTTCGTCACTGGACACGCTGGTAACACATTAACGTCTGAGTCCTGTTGTTTCGCATACCTGCCATTGAAGTAATTTGCTAAATCCCTGTGAAGCAAGTCTGTAAGGGGCTTATCACTCAAGAAATAATTTCTTGCTACCTCCAGAAACAATCTGTGATACCACTTTTATACTACGTGACCGTCTGCTGCTACTTTCACCAGATAACCGCCTGCAAGGACGCAAGTGCTAGAAGAAGTAACAATGGTTATTGAGAATAACAATTATAGCGCGATACGTTTCTTCAGTTTCTTACCCTTCAAATTTTTACAAGCTATGCTGCGCGAGCTTTAGGTGGTCATTTCTTTACTACTTTAATATTGTACAGCTGGCCACACTGACCATACTAAGTTCCAATTGTTACAAAATCTACAATGAGCGGAAAACATCTTGGCACGCTAGATTAGTTTTTTACTTAATAAAAAGGAATTACAATTACTATTATGTTGAGTGGTGGGTTGTCGATCTCCTAGTGAAGGCAGGCGGGCCAAATAATTTTCTTACCCATTGAAGTTTATTTGGTGACCATTTATGACTGGCGCTGTTAGTCTTGAAAACTGTCTTTGATGACTAGTTAAGACTTGGTATTGTAAATTTTTTGACTCAAATTCCATTGTAAACATTCATGTTCTGCGTTTGGTTTTTCTCCTTTCTTTGTAATAAACCACTGACCTAAGTCATTGCGGAGTCGAGTCCACAGTAGAGGAGGCAGCCTTCTGATTGGTGGCAAGTGGTATTTAAAAACCTCATCGGCGAGAACGATATCGTCACATGATAAGATATCTTCCAGTTCTGACTTCGAAAGACCCGTTATAGAAGCTGTAATGTAACCTAAAGCCCTACGGACAAACTTTTCCCCATGCTCTATGATCAAGCTGAAAAGTAAAAAAAATTATATCTAACGATAGCGACAGGACATTTCTCAATAGAATTAGAGGTAGCAAGGAGCCTTACACATCTCCTTTCAGGATAAGTTTATGGTAAGGGGCACTTTTAAGTTTAAATCATTGCTCTTGCAAACTCGTTCTGCGCAGAGAGGAACTTAAAAAGATACATCTAGAAACTGTCGGACTTTCGATGTAGAGGTAAACTTGTATGGGCCCTTTTCAAGAAGATTTTACGAAAATTACGCAGTAGCTGTTTTATTACATTTTTGATGGAAATGGGATAGTTTTATGAGATAAATGGGAGTATTATCGTATGATTGTTATAATGCACGAAGAGAGATGATCTCTCGAACTATAAGATAAAATGACAATGTAGGAAATATGCTATATTGAAGCAAGTTATTGATTCAAAGTTGTAAAGTGAGCGGTCTTCTAGTAAATCTGACTTGCAGGCCTAGAACAGGCTCCCAGTAGATCCTTGGGCCTTACGTTTGTGAATGTAGATTCCATTACAAGTTATTCACCATGATTGAGGATAGAGTATTACAAATATGTTTATTATAATATTACAAATATTTTTTTTTATTTTCTTCAAAAAAAATTTAAACTCACGAACCGTTCAAAAAGCCGTATGATCAGCTCCGTCGCAGTCAGTCTTAACTCGTTGTGAGTGTTTTCAGTGAACGATTTCCAACGAAGAGCTGTATCACAAGCTAGTTTCATGTAAAGTGCTGTTGGCTTGGAGCAGGTTTCTAATACTTGAGATCTTTGCTGTGCTGTGAGTCCCCTACAAAGTTTGATTATCAAACCAATCAATGATATCATTGAGGATGACCTATGGTGCGTCTGTACATGCACATTACATTGCATTTTCTATATAATATAGTAGAAGTATACTGGACCTGAACGAAATGAAATACGACAACAAGGTTGTCAGTCTGCCAAAAAAAATGATGATCACCGCCTTTGGTTCTGTATGAATCTATTTCGGGTAGAAAAACCAAATCGACCTCTCAGACTAGGTTTGGAATCTTCAAAGCACTTCAAACATTATCCATGATGTCGGAGTTGAGGTGATAAACATTTAGTCCATGGGTAAGGTCAGTGCTATATACGTTTTGTTCTATAAGTTAGGAAAGAAACAAACTTTCCAACGATGGGTTAAGAACCACTTAAAAGTGAAAGCATACCTTTTCTCTTTTTCTAATCTCATATCTAGAATGCTCTCAGCATCACTCGATTCCAAGGATGAAACCTTCGGAAAAAGTAAAGAGTATGCGAAACCAAAAACAACAAGGTGTTTTTTATGTAACATTTACGGTAAGCTTATTTACGGAGTCACTACAATAAAAGATGATATGATCATTGAGAAATCTAGATAGCTTGGCCATCAAGGATCGAAGGGAACAAGATTACAGCTTGCGTATCTTTGAATTTTCGACGCCGTATTTCTTTCGCTGAACGTGATCATTGATCATTCTTTTTGCACTCTTGACCATTAACTTTCCTTCTTCATTTTTTTTTTTCCACTTGTCATTCTTTTCTAGTTTACTTAGCTAATATTTGGCTGCTTCACCAGGGCTGAAGATTATTCTATGCGTCGCAGAAAAATAATTGAAGTCACCTTAAGCTAACTACCCTGGTTTAAAAAATACATATATATAATAATTACTACCACGGAATGCAATTATTTTATGTAAAAGTTCATTTCATATGCAAAGTTCCAGAGAAGGAATAAGCGACAAAAAACTTACCTCAAGATAAAAGTCAGCATTGCTCTCTGGTTTTAGTTTGGATTTTAGTACAGCAAGGCACCCTCCTGTATTGGGAAGGGTGCTCACCACAATGTGGACATTTTTTGGCAAGCTCGTTGGAAGCCATCTTAAGGCACGTCCATCATCTTGGTCTGACAGCTGGTCCAATGAGTTGAGAAATAAAACTGAAAGATTTTGGATTAAATGGGCACGGTCACATGATCTCATTGTTAATAAACGTACTTAGTGCCTACTCATACCATAGGTATTGATTAGCAAGGTCCGTTCATTATTTTGGCTAGGGGAGGATGGGTATACTTTGTTGGCAATAACTGATCCCGCTCCATTACCTCTGAGAACCACGTGATTACCCCCAGAAATCCTCTCTTTCCCCATAAGGTGATAAATAATGACTGCCGCCTTAGAGAAGTAAAATATGGCAAATGTTATGTATTACCCATCGGATTTTCTGGAGTGGGTCTTTGGAGAAGAGAGCGAAATGTTGCCACCAGTCGCTCACAGTTGTCGGTAATAACTGTTGATGTATCGTTCAACACCAAACACATCTGCAATTGCAACGGAAATTTATAGTGATGGTGATGTAATTCAGTGATTCACTGTGCAAAACTATAGAAATCCCATCGTTTGATCAGAGGAAGCTGTGTACCATTTATCATCAGAAGCATCTACAGATCACTTAAAGATCATATAAGTAAGTGGCTCAAGCGAAGGAGAGCGAAAATTACCAAGGAAGGATTGGTTTTATAGTTTCGTTATCGTGGGTAGCTTGTTCCAGGCGCGAAAGTAACGACCGACCGACCCAAACATTCCATGTTTTGTCACTTCTCCGCTACCACCGCGCTGTGTTCCATCACCCTTCGTTGAACTAACTGAACGCCTGGAACAGGCTTCCTCGCAGGTCATGTGAAAATTGAGGTATTTTAGCAGTCCTTTCGTCTACTTTTGTCTAGCTCCCAACGCTAGCAAATAGCTTGTGGTGATTATCAAGCAGCGACAATTAAGCAGCGACGACTGGGTAGCGATGATTTATTAGCGATGATTTATTAGCGATGATTTATTAGCGATGATTTATTAGCGATGATTTATTAGCGATGATTTATTAGCGATGATTTTAAATAGAATCTTTGCACGTGTACTTAAATGGGAATTGATCGGAGATAACAAACTTATTGTGTAATAATCATTAACTAACGAGAGACTTATTGATAAAAATGAACCAGAACAAAAACGATAATAAAGTGTGTATTAAGTAAGCGTTTCGAAACTTACCAATAGCACTAGCCAGACGACCCTAGTGTACCGGTACAAATAAGAGGTGTATTTTGGACGATGCCATCCGAGCAAACCTGCGATCATTGAAAACATAACATACCTGCTGACACAGGCTCCTCAACAGACATCTTACATCAGATGAAAAGGGTGAAGTGCCGATGTATCCGATGAAATGAAATGACCTACAAAATTAAATACATTATACTTACTTAAACTTTTGCAATCATACAATAAGAAGGCAAAAAAAAATGTTTGTGTGTGTGCTTTTGCAAAGGGAGACACAATGACTTTTGAATGCTGTCGGGAAAAAGTTATAACGTCTCAGCTTCTTTGCTTTGGTTTAAAAAAAAAAAAAGTAACTAACCAAAGTAAAAGTAAAAATACCAGATCCTTGCCACATTATAAATGCAAAAGGGATGCTTGCGCAGATTAAATATCCTATCCTAAATAACTTCGTTTCAAAACAAAAGTTAAAATAAAATAAAGGTTTTTGGGGACGACGGAACGGCAACAAAGGAAATTTATCTGCATCTGGAAAACAACCACTAATACATTAGAAATATCAAACTATAAATAATACGACATAAGAAGTTAATATGGCAAAGTATTCCCTTTGTTAATTATATTACAGAACTGTCACCTTCCAGTCTCTACTCCGCTCCAATTTTCAATGGACATACCGTACACTTTGGCCATCTGGGACGTTTTTCCACATCCGGAAATACCATGCACAATAAAAGGCTATAAAAAGGATTTTATTTTGTAAGTAATGTAATCTTGAATCATTCTTTTGAATTTTTCCAGCATTTTTCTTCCAATTTACTTTGCTCTTTGCTCGAATAAGTTCTTTTAATTTTTTTGTACGTTTGTATGACTTGTTTGTTTGTTTGTTTACGTTGTCTGTTGAGACTGTTCACCTTTTCCCTTTTATTCAATTTACAGCAGATTTGCAAGAAAGGAGAAGACGAAGAAATGAAACTTTTGACAACTTTGTCCAGCTTGTTTGTATCCAACAGTGAGAAAGATATCAACACAGAGGTTACTGCCGTGGCTTTGGAGTGGCACATCATAGGGGACATAGGAAGGTAACTTACTCTATAGAGGGCGGGTGTGTTGTTAGATAGTATGACTTTCAAGGATAACTGACACTAGAAATAAGAGTTGTTTTGATGGTAAAACACGCACTTCAGCAGCAGATAGTACCTACCAACGCATTAATTTGAGGGCTCTGATTCCAAGATTCTGAACTTTCATATAATTCCTTAGACGATAGCTTTAAGAGGTGCCTGGAATTCCCAAGAAAATGCGACAGATTTTCCCCGTTGTGATTTTTGTGTGAGTCACGATGATATAACACAACAGCAGTTCTTCTGTAAAATGAGAGCAACACACGAAAAAGACAGCGCTGGCAACGAGACTGTGGCCTTTTTCCAACAGATAAATAAACTCATCATAATCTTTACTTTATTCATGTTGTATCTTCACGGTTATCGTAATGCTATCGACTTTACGAAGCAATTTACAAAGAAGAAACCAAAGTAGAAATTACTAACTACATAATGAAAGCATGAGAAGAATTGAGAAATTGCTAAAAGATCGATCTCAAAAAGTGAGATTAAGTTATCTACTTGTTTACTTGCAAATGAAAACAACTCGTTTGGAAGAACGGTGATTCAAAAAAAAACAAAAACAAAGACAAAACAAGGAAAAAATAATTAGAAAAAAAGAGAGGGAGAAAAACTGATAAGGAGTAAGTTTTACCACAACAAATGTCAGCTAATATAATAACTAATATCAGGATAGGCGATTTATCAAATCTCCTTACTTCATTCTACAGAAAAGTTGCGAAGATCAACAACCCAACTGAAAAAAAAAAAATCAAGAACACTCTGAAGATGAATTGTTCGAAAGGTTAGACATATTTATGCTTTTTTTTATGATTCGACAAAATTGTATCATTATGCTTTCTATGTCAAATTTACCTTAGGTCCCCTAATCATATTTACTCAATGTCTTTTAGATATCCTCAGTGTTGAAGAGAGAAAGGGGATTTATTCAAATTGAATAGCTCTCGCCAAACTCTATGAGAGCCGAGCCTACATTGAGAGTATAGGATGTATAAAGATGAACACTAAAATATTTCTGCCGTTTAACCGACGGGTTATTAACAGTTGATCTTGCGGCTTTGTATTAACATAATGATTTCCACCGTCTACTGTACTGACACGCGCACAAACCTCCAAAGATAACTTAAAAAGGCCTCCAATCGAATGGCAAAAATGATGGATCTAAATTGTTTCGAATAGATCTTTTCCAGGCTGCAAAGAAAGCTACAAAACTTAAAGAGTAGAATACATCGGGTCAAATTAAAGTGTAGGAATGTAAGGGCTGATCATAAGTTTTTTATCTTTTTTTTTGGCCAATTTTATGGACCAAGCCTAATGCTGCATTGAAATCTGTCAGCATTTTATGAGCAGTCAATTAAAAGCAAAAAATGTCCAACTGTTGAAAGTTTTCTTGTTTGACCTTTGTTTGACAACTCTCTTCTATCACACATGGTTTGATGCTACTCTGGGTTACAGATTTAATGAATGTAACCGAAGAAGTTACAATTCATAGACCAACGTTCCGACATTCCTGTCTAGTGCTTTCATCAGGGGTGAAGGCACTACACAGGAGTGTTGAAACGTTGGGTCTATGAATTGTAACTTCTTAGGTTGCATTCATTAAATCTGTAAACTAGAGTAGCATCAAACCATGTCTGATTGTCCACCTGGTTGCCGTGTGAACTTTAATATAACTCTCTTCTATGTTTTTCTTCCCTTTTCTTTTTTGCTCGTTTGTTTTTTTGTTATTTGTTATTTTCTATTTAATTTACTCTCTCATGTTATCTATACGAATTAGTTTTACGGCTAAACCCCAGTGCCTCGAATTGCCATGGGAAATTGAAATTACTACGAGTTATAAGGGCTTTGAACTAAAAGACCAGAAACACTCGATTAAAGAGGTTTTGTGCTTATACAAGTTTCACTGGAAGATTTCTAGAAATTTAAGAGAATAACAACGACAAAACAAAACAAAAAAAAACGTAAGAAAACCACAAAAAAGTAGATGCTCTTCAGAATGTTTATAGCAAATGTTTATAGTGGGGAATTCGAGTTACCGAGGGTTCGAGTTATCGGGATTCAACTTATCTTAATTTTTATTCCAACCAATTTTTATTTTTCTATCTTTGACTGAGTACATGTTTCCATTTTTAAAACTCGAAAGGTGCTGAGCCAAGAAGATGTGGACTCGCTCTCGTGACGTGAGCAATTTCAGAATTAAAACTTTAAAAATAATTGTGAACTTTTCCCATGAAACCATAGTAACCATTGCCTCCGGGTATCTGTACATTCAAGTTAACCTCCCCCTCCCCCCCACCCTTCCTTCCCCCTGTAAGTAATGAATGAAACTTGAACTCGGGAGAGTATAGATAAACAGTATACGCAGCACGTTATAAACTGATATTGTATTTCGTTCAAATCAATCCAATATTTACATGTTTACAGGGCGGATAAGCGTAGTGCGGACGATTAAGACGTCTTCTGTCGTCTAGGCCGTCAACATACGGCTTCACACTTGTGCCAACCACGGCACATCACGGGCTCACGACCCTGAACAGGCTCGGTCCGCACCGCCACCTCAGGCGACTAATGTAATGCGTTCAATCACAGCAGCTCGCGCCGTCTCGAAGTAAACGTCACTTGCACATCCCGTGCTTCCGTGCCACTCCAATAGAACTTCTGTTCCTCTCTTTACTCGGGATTGTTGCCATGCTCCACCGCTGGCTTCGTCTCAAACAAAGGAGTCTGCAGAGGAAAAATTATTTTCTAAAATTTAAAATTTTTTGTCGATGAGAAACCTAATCTTGTTAAGATGGCAAGATAGGTGAAAGATAAAGTGGAAAGTAATTTTATGATACCAAAGTTAAACTGCAGAATCTTTATAACTTAATATCACTATCCTTTGATTGAAAAGCTGAGTTGACATTGCTCCCTTTTAACTCATTTCCCAGCAAGATGTAGCAAGGTATGTTTGAAATTGTTATTGTTGTTTGAACATTTTTCAGACTCGAGGGCTTTCAATTCAATGCTAGCTATAAGTTTGTTATGGGAAGCTTTTTTTGTCGAATTACCACTTATTCATTACGGCACATAATACCCTAACTCATTTTTGTTATTCTAAATAGATAAAACTATACCACCAAAAGATGTTATAATTTAATTCACTGCTTGATTCTTAATAGAATAATTATGTACGTTATCATTTCATTATTGTTTTTGAATGTTTCACCACTCACCGAAGCTAGGTTTATCTCCAACTGCTCCGTTTCGAGGAGAAGCTCATCCCTTTCGCTAGTCAGCTTTACACTTATCTTCAGCGAGGCTACGCTGCCATGCGGAAGTGTGTAAGTTAATTTCTCTGGCAGTGTAAACTGGTCGATCTTTATTCTTTCGATCTGAGTCAGCATATGCGAAAACAAGTGAAAGTTGAGCAAAATGATATTCTCTGACTACGACCAAAGCTCTTTTTAAAGGATAACCCACGAAGTGAACTAGTATTGATCGCATAATCTGCAGGGATAGCATACAGATTTCACTGAAACTCTAACCCTACAAAAGCTTAGTAAGTACATAGATGCAAATAACCCTTCATTTATTTGTTCTTAAATTGCAATTGAAACCTCGAAATTGATTCTTGCTTTTCAGCTTTTAACTCGATTTGCCGCACATCTAGTTAAAAGCTGAATAGGAAGAATCAATTTTGAGCCGAGTAACCTCATATCTAAGTTGGCTGTCTAACTGTCTTCTGCGTAAGTTGTAACTGACCGCGCTGAAATGAAGCTTACACAATCCAGCCCCTCATGTTCCCTTGATTCTTACCCGTTTAACTGCTTCAAAATCTCCCGTTTTTAACGCGGCGATAATCAACCACGCTTCCTTTTCTTTCAAACAGAATTTATCGACATGGACCCTCATCATGCCAAGTCGAGATTGCTCTTCCTGAAAAGAAACCACGATATCACTTACTTGTTATTTCTTTCAGTTCTTTTAACCCAGATGCGACTTAAATTTAGATTCTCCTCCAATTTTTATGCATAGTACAAAGACCAAGTCATGAGAATCGATAAATGTAGCTCGAGAAGAACGGTTATTTCCATGTAACGCTGAATTTCCAAATTAATTTACATACAACCGTGAAAAAGTCAAAAGCTATAATAATTTTTCAGGTCTGAGAGCAATGTTGTGCTCTTTATTCATTATCTCCAAAAAGGAAGAACAAAAAGAAACAAAGACAAACAAACAAAACAAAACTAGACAGATACAGGAAAACTTGCCACCGCTTTTTGGGTAGACTTTAAAGTTGAATTTCATATCAGTTCAAGTGTTGTACACTTTCTTAGAGAAGATTCAGCCATGCACAAGAGTTCTTTACTGACATCAAAGTTATGTTTGGCTAAAGTATCTGATCGAATTTGATCGATAAGTTCTTAATAATTAGAGAGTAGTGACTGATGGTTCCGCATTTCTTCTGAAAAGGCAACAGAACAAGACGTTTTTTTTACAGATACCTGTAGGAAGGCTTGTCTGCCCTTGCCTCCACCTTTGGTTAGATAGAGGCAAAGCTGGCTCTTTTGTCCGGGCTGTACAAAGCTGTATACATCCATGAAGTAGTCATCCTCACAACCCAAGCATGCTCTTTTAGCGACCGGCTCGTCTTCCTCCATTTCTCTGTTAGAGGAAGGAAGGAAAATCCTTTAATACGAAAAAATCGCAGACGCTCTTTTAAACAAGGTAGAGCTAAGGATTGACCGCTAATTTTGGCCGCATTGAATGAAATAGTAAACTAGTTGTGTTAATAATGCGCACCTTTAGTCAGCCATGTTGGATCACTTGGACGAGGAATCCTGGACCGACCTGGACCGAGTGCAAGGAAGAAAACTGGGAAAGAGCGGGGGGGGGGGTGAGGGTAATCCGCGTCTCCTTTCCCCCGTCTCATCTCCCTCTCTTGTTGTGTTCGAATTTTCTTTTCGTCCTTTAAAAATAGTCGATGAAGAACTTCCCGTAAAAATTACCTACAACATAGGGTATCTGCTTGTTTGGAACATAGAAAAGCCAAGAAGTTTTGAATTTGAATGAGCTACAATGTAAGAGATTAGAATAACACACCAAACCCCGGATGAAACTTGAAAGATCAACCATACATCACCACAAATCGCTTTGTTTGAGATGAAATTAAGACAGGCTAGTCACAAGCGTGATATCAACTTTCTTCGAATCTCATCATTAACAAATTTACATAGCATTAACCGAGTGACAAACAGATTTACTGACCTTACACGTTTTTGTGATGATTTGGTTTCGCCTCGATCTTTTCTGATTTCGCTTGCTCAAAGTTTTTTTGTCTGGGCAGTTTAAATGTTCACTTTAGTGTCAAGATGAGTTAAAAATGTCCTAGCCCTCCGTCAGGTAAATACAGCTCATAGATTTTAAAGGAGAGTTCGAAATACTTCTTCATTAACATCAAGGGTTCGCCACAACCACAATGGGTTAATTTCCCTGTTATATTATTTCTGTCATTCCCTTTCATCTATTTTTTTTTGTGACTTTTCACGTGTTTTTAGTTACATGGGCCACGAAATGGGGTTTTCCCTTTTGTGTTTTGATAACTCGGCACTCTCGATTTACTGTTCGGTGAAGTGGAACCCGAAGAGATTTGGCGCAAAATCTCGATAATTGTTTCGTCTCTATCACTGACGAATCGAGAAGCTCATAAAGCATACAACCGAAAAAAACATTGAAAAAAACAAAAACAAAAAAACAAAAAAAAACAAAACATAAGGTCAGAAATTTAACACATTTAACACATTTTTGAGGCTTAAAATTTCGTGACGGCTGCTTTACAATCGGTGATACGCGCGTGACATTGGAATACACATCACTGATTTCAATAAAACCCTTTCAAAACGCATACCGAATAGCCTGCCCCCGCGATATTTAAGCTTATTTGTGACAAATTAGAGACAGGCCTTTTCGTTTTCTGCACTTCCACTCGATTTTACAATTTCTAGACAGCAAAATGCACCGTACGACAGACGTAGCGCGTTAAGATACAAAATGCCTTGTCACAGCCGAAAGATCTTGGTCGATTGCAGGCAGTAGTGAATAGCGCAGGATAAGTTAAGAAAATTAGAGTATAAGTAATCACCTGTTACTACAATGGGAGTGAAGGCCCGCCATTAATTCACAAAATGACTGACAGTGGAAATCCCTAATCAAAGCTTTGCTATAGAAGATGTTAATTGATCGGCCTGTACATTAGACTCTCGCTTTCTTTCGACGATTTACTTTCTCTCCTATAAAGGAGAGCTGACCGTTATTCTATAACACTGCGATTCTTTCATCTTAGCAGAGGTACAGGTGAATAAAATAAGATCCAAATTTTTTTTATAGTTTTACCCTAGGCCGGCTTTGTCGAGGGTAATACCTTTGAGTTCCTATACGTGTCAACGCGTTTATTATTTTTCAGTCAGAAAATTAGTGCAATGCCGAAAAGTAACTACATGATATTTACATGATATAAATTCTCCTACCCTCTCTCGCATCGTGTTCAAACGTGTACCTTTAATTCGTCGCTTTCCGTCCATTTCTTGCCAAAAGAGGGGATTTGTTATTAGTGACCACTAAAAAGGGGTTTTCCATTTTTGTTTATAATTACATAGCACTTTCGATTTCCTGTTCTAGATGTGAACTCTCGAACTATGCTCTTAAAATACCGTCACAAGGGCAAAAGTCTTTAAAGATTTCTCATTTGATCTACGTTTTAACGACCGAGCTTTTAGAGCTATTTAAACTGCGTGATTTAATAAAGTATTATCTATCTGTTTAAAAGAAATCCTTTTAAAATGCGAAGCTACGCGTGGACTCAATCCGGCATTAGGAGAGTACTTAGAGATGGATAATACAGCTGGCATCGAATCGAAATCGGTTTCGATAGATACAAGCTAAAATCAGTCCTCAACTTATATTTAATTGGGTTGTTAACAAAGGCTGCGCTTTCATGCACCCTCAGAAAACATATTATTTGATACATTCGATATTGTCTTAAAGAACCTAAAGAACCTACCGTTCAACGAAAGGAGCTTCCTCTTGATGAAAACTTTCAGAACAAGTCTTTAGATCTCTGTCTGTCACTTCAATACCGTGGTTATTCTCTTGATGCCTTATAAATTCTCTCCCCCTTTCTTCACAACTTATCAGAGTGGACAAATCGCTTTGAACTGATAGATAGTCTGAGGCGAATGCTAACTCCTTTACCTTCGTAAGATTTAAAACAAAGCGAGTCACTCTCTACCGTCTTACCGCCTCACCAAACATATGCCTGATTTTTATCTTTATTTTTTTTAGAATCACGTGACTATTTGTCAATCAAGGACAGCTTTTGTTGAACGTATGGGAAAATAAGTTTCATTTTCTAATTTGATTACTATTCTTAAGAATTTTCTATCCTTCTATTTCTAACCGGATGAGCTAGTAACAGGGTAACAACAGGAATGGGGAAATCGAAACTTTATCAGCTTTAACATCTAAGGGGAATCCCCGACGGATTTGCATAACAGACCGTTATCAATATTGATATCTGCTGAAAGTGCCTGATAAGCGCATTTTTGTTTGGGAGGGAAAATTCCCTCCGACAAACAAAAGACGAAAAAATTTCGAGGTCTTTTTAAAGATTTTGTCGAAACACCAAGGTAATCCGGGTTTAAACTTTCAAAATGATGTGTCTCATAGAGTCAATGATCCAGAACCTATATTATTCTGTCATTTGCTTTGAACATGTGTAAAAATTCGAGAACAATACTTTTGAAACTGGAAACCAAATAGATGGGCCTAGACAAGCAAGTGTTGTATTGTTTGGTTTCTGAGGTGACAACCAAAGGACAAATGCGTGCGGTGCGTGGGTGTCAGTTGAAACGAAGGGAAAAACCCCTTTCAATTTCGATTCTTTCAGATGGTAATGTCAGGTGTTTCCGTCAAAGCAATTGATATTTTAGTTTCTGATCTAACAATGAGTACCTGTCAAAACAAAATTGAATTTGATCTTCCTGTTGTCAGCCAATGTTTACACCACAAGATCTATTTTGGTTACAACCTCTATAAATACGGATGCGCTGAGAAATCTTTGCAGTACTTGAATATCGCAGACGATCGAAACAATTGACTGCCACTCTGCGGAGTTAAAACAAAGTTGTGCTCTATGGAAAATGGTGAGATTAAAACCTTTTTTCTTTTATTTTCCTCAGATGCACAATTTATATGAGTATGGAATTAAGAACTTGATATCAAGCTATTTCGACCGTGGAAAACAAATCTAGAAATGTTTTATGAGTGCATGTATTATTTTTTAGCGTATTTGATCATGAGTCGATGAAAACTGAAGGAAAAAAAGGAGAATATGTGTCAGATAGCAAAAGTTCACTCAGAATAAAAGGAAAGACCAGAAGTACAACTCAGAAGAAATCGAACTTGAACCCATACGGTCCGCCAAAATATTGCCACAACCATCATTTCACTTTACCCAATAATTCTTGATTGGAGATAGCGATGAAAGATTTTTAAGCGCTTAAACTGTCGAAGATGTTTTACCAGAATATGCTATTTTTTTAATGAACCACTCGTGTTGGCGGATTTGAAATATCGAACGGAAGTGACCTCATTATGTGAACATCATCCAAAGTTCAATTAAGCGGGCCTCAGCAAAAGTCGTTACGCCTTCATAACATGTGGATGAATTTAAGGATAAATATGGACAAAAAAGAGAAAAGAAAAGAAAAATCCTATGAAAAAGAGCCCCACATTGAACATTTATAGATTCGTCAAACATTTTGGTTTAACAGAATCAGCAAATACTGAGGTTTGGAAATCACTCGTGTACCAAGTCAGTAGCATATACAGAGCCTCGAAAAACAACAATGCTCCTCTCGTCGTTGTGATCCAGCACAGTTGTCTAGTAGCACTTGGACACGGATGGAAAATTTTTGTCTTATGTCGAACCACACCAAGTAACCAAGAAAGAAAGACAACAAACACGAGCGATTGGAGAGAAGTCACCGATGTTATTCCAGATGCCAAAGTAGAACAGAAACATAACGACATTGTTGTGACTCTTCCCCAACTAAACGAGGACATTGAAATTTCAGCTTTTGGAATTCCAGGAACAGTAGACCAGAAACGAATGAAAATGGCAATCTTTGGGAAAAAGCCAACCCAAGGAAGGGACTGGAAATTAAAGGTCTATCTCATAGACGACTCGACCACAGCTTTTGAGGTAAGACCGGTTGTTATTGTATTTGGTAAACTTTCTCAGACTCGAGCTTGAGGTCTAAATTTGAGTCTATCTTTTTTCTGCAACAAACGCACTCCTACAGTGCCTTTTTCTTTCTTGGAATATAAATGGTTATTGGTTGGCAATCGCCAGGTAAACCATGGTTAAACATTTTCTTTTAAAGGTTGGGGAAATTCATCCACCGGCAACTCCTTGTTGCAATGGCTGATGCCATGAGACTGCTAAAGGGATTATTTTCTTCATTTTAGAAACAAAATAATGTAATTTCACTTAATAGTTCTTCCTTTCTATCAAACAGAACGTCTGCGACAAAGAGGAGAGTTTAGGAAACAACTTGTTAACAACCCTCGCTGGTTTATTTGTGTCAAACAGTAACGAAGAAATCAGAATTGAAATCAACCCCATTGAACCTGGATGGAAAGTCAAAGGAAACAAAGTTCAGGTATACACATTGTTCGTTTACAACACCAATTTGTACCTCGACGACCTAAAGTTGAGCTTTACTCCCGAAACACTTGTTGAAAAACGAGGTGATACAAATTCTCTTTTTCCTCGATCTCCGCTGAGATTGAACATCGCAGAATACGGAAAGCGTTCACCATAGCTAAGGCTCTCCCGTGGCACATTTTTTCCTGACGTTGATTTTTTTTTATCATGTTTGAATTACAGACGATTACAGCAAAAGATGCCTGGCACTCGCTTGAAAATTCTAAAGGTTTTCCTCATTGCCAAATCATCATCGAACACGTCAACAAATCGAAGCAAGCATTCTTTTGTGGAATAACAGCATCGCATGGAAGAGATCAGGCTAACACAGAACTAGTGGCATATTTTGAACATGTAGGTCTATGATATGGGTATTTGCATGCATTTTTGACGATGCAGGCGAAGGTTGTTGAAGAGAGAGCAAGGCAAAAGGCGCGATAAGTGTTCGAAGCTCGAGCCCTCCGAGATTAGAATAAATAAAGGTTTTCTTTCAGTCATTTTCTTGTCACTTCGTACGAATACAAATTACACAAATCGATACCACTCCATAAAATGTTTAGCTGCAAGAATGTGAAAAAAACCCAAAGGCTTCAATGAAATGCGTTTAAAAAGGAACATTTTACCAGGTATATAACTTAGCAACTTCGAAAAGATTTTGTTATGAAAGAGGAAAGATACCGTTCTAGGCTAAGATGGCTTAGATAGCACATATGTGAAATGGAGATTTTCAAGAAACTTAAAAGCATTTATTAAAGTAAGCATGCTTATTTATCATATTTCTATCGTACAGGAGAGAAAAAGAGGAGAACTCAACCAACCATCTAAAGAGCTTCAGACACTGAACAACACCACCCGATATGCGAGAAATGGTACGACGCTTTATTCCTGTTCTTTTCTATTAGAAAAAAAAACAAACAACAACAACAACGATAACAATAACATCGCCAACAGCACTGAGTACAAGGATATGATTAAAAACTATATCACTCCAAGAAATATTTGCGAGCCATATCCTGTTAGGGCGAAACCTTCACTGACAATTTGAGTTCTGTCTAATGAACAAGGCATTTGGAAAAGTTATTGAACAGAAGTTGGGTTACATACTTAGTTAGATTACCACTTCTTTACTTATCAAAGCCAGGTACTTAGGACGATTCACGGCTCAGCTAAAGGTTGAATAAAATGTTTACTAGCCGCCAATGTATTCTTATGTATAATCTTGAAAATTATGTGACAGATAAAACGGAAAAAAAAAAGTTGAAAAAAGTCTACCCGTTGCAAGTAGGCTAATATATTGCTAGCGCTAATTATTTTACAACTTGAATTACATTATAGAGATAAACACCTTAATCTGCATGGTTGCTCTTCTGACCCTAGGATGCAAACGCACGCGTTTAAAAGGTAAGAGGTTTGTTATTCCGTTCTATGCTATTCCCCTGACGATAATGGTAGTGCACCTGCTGACTTAAAACAAATAAAGCAAGCAGATATTATTTTTTCATTATACAACTGGCGATGGACGATGTTTCATCCGAAACATGTTTTGTCTTCATTAAAAAATATAGGGAAAATGAACTTCAAAAGCATCATGTGGTTCATCAAAGCGATAAATATATATATATTTATATATATTTATATGTTTTTTTTGTTTTGTTTTGGGTTTTTTTTATTGGGGTTGTTTTTTTTGTCTTGTTTTTGTTTTTGTTGTGGGGAAAAAGTTTGGATAAGATTAGACCAATGGCTGAAGAGTGGTTCCCAACCCGTGTTCAGTTAAGTTCTATAAGGATACCTTTTTGTAAAGTTACCTAAATTTTGCCATCAATTTATTTTTTGTCTACAGGATCAGCCCAATACGCCACTATTTGTAACGAAGAAAAGCGAGCCTTAGTCTGGTCTCATTGAACACATCTTCCAGGATAACTCACTCATAACAGAAAAAATGACCGATTATCGATTACCATATAAAGATTTGGGAAACAAACACAAAATAAATCTTTTTCACAACTTGCATTAGTAAAAGTAATGAGGTGTATGTTGTAGCTTTCGGTTTAAAATAATGTCACTGCTATTTTTTTTTTTAATGAGAAATATCATATAAGTAACTTATTACCAATGAGTAGCGCTTGGAATAACTTAAGAAAAAATTATGATAGAATTACGTCATGTTCAGATACATATTGCCACCTTCTCTCGAGTTTTGCATAAAAAAAGTAATATTCTCAGTGATCAGACTCACTAAGCGAGAATGGAATTTTAAACGTAAAACGTGCAGAGGATTACTTGAATAATCATTGCATCCCAATTGATATTTTGACTTATACGCGTGCATAATACCTTTTTATTTAATTTTGTATTTATGAAAAGTGAAAGTGGTGTTAGGGAAGTTTTCCATTAGTCCAAAATAAATAACAGGTCATCGCTGGTAACAGCGACAATACACCTTACCATATCATCATTAGCTTCTACGTGAGGGTTTAGCAATCTTCTGTGGATTCATTACCAAAGAAGAAGAATGGCAACATGTGTTGCATTATCTTCTGTTCTGTTTCGTGCTTAAAGTTCCGACACACATTTCACCAAATGCTAGGTGACTTACTTACATAAAGCGAGGGTCAGTTCACCCACAAAGTTCATTTAATTCTCAAAGCTGAAGACAGTACGAGTTAGAAATTACTTATTCCTAATTCTGTCGAATGAAAGACGTCGTCAAACAATGTAAATTACCCTACTGACCTTTGAAAGTAGGGGAATATTCGGTAAAAAAAAAAAAATTATCCGATATCTTTAATCATTTCAAGAGAAATTTACTACCAATTAAGGAGTCCTCAAAACCCAAAAAGTCGGTTTTTCTCTTTTGGCATCGTAAGTTTTTGCAGTTGCTAGGTAAAAAAAAAAGAAATTTTTGGCTTAGTCATTTTAAGTCGAAAGAATACTTAACTAAAAGCAAACAGCCTGAAAAATCCTTTTCTGAATCTTGAAAACTATCAGTCATGGATAGAAAATTGATCAAAAATTTTAATTGTTATGGTTACTCGTCAGAGACCAAATGGCATCTAAAGGAAACGTTCTAAGCGGGACTGAAACAGAAGTTGACAGAGTATTAACACTCTCACAAATATTTGGTTCGTGCAAACAGAATTGAAAATATGTCTTATAGTCGTCTCACATAAAAGGAAGGAACTTTGATTAATTAATATATTGAAGAGCAATCTATATCGTTTTCGGATTAATATTAAACGACAGTTAAAATATTTATTTATATTCTAAGATGAAAGAAATAATTATTCCCTGGAATGGGCTTACAATCTTTTGTGTAATGTGCCTTCTTAGATCCCTCCTAGAAAATTTCAGAGTAATTTCAAGCAACTGTTAAAATATTTATTTATATTCCAAGATGTAATAAATAATTATTCCTTGGAATAGGCTCACAATCTAAAGCAAGCTTCAGTTCCACTCATTGGATGGGTCATGGTTGTTAATCCTGTTTTTTAAACTCTTTTAAGGCTCTATCAGTCTTAGGCGCCCTTACAACCCTCGCTAGTGCCTTCAAAAACCTATATGACCTTATTCCCCTATGAAAGATTCACCTTTAACCACACACGTGCAGGAAAATTTCCTGATGATGTAAAATTTCCAAAAAAAAGAGTCATCTTCTAGCAAATTTCGATTGAAAAATAAAGTAAACCAGAATTGCTCTGGTTTTGTGGCACTTTGCCTCGTAAACTCCTGCCACTATCTCAAGCAATAAGGGTCAAAACTAAACTGGCCGTTTACGATTTGGTTATCCCCTTTTTACGCACGTTTAGTGGTTTGTTTGATTTAACTATGGGTTCTCATTGGCTCTTGAAGGTGCTTTTTTCTTTCTTCTGATTGGCTTTTATGATTACTTTGGTTTGGGCTTTACGACACTCTTCATTCTAAAAGTGGCTTTGGACGAGTAATCCATTATCACTTGAAGAAGAAGCAACGTGTCCAAGTACTCCGTTGTGTTCTATTGCCAGACAATCGACTTTTTGGCCTTAATTTTTCATAAAAGATTAAACTAGGAAGCTACGCGTTTCTAGATTTTTCATTCTCCTACTTTTTTCCTTTCTTCTTCTTTTTTAAAGGAAGAGATCATCTATCTACGACGCAACAACGCTATTTATCTACTTTTGATAATGAAACTGCCATCGATCGTAACATTTTCGCCTTTCTTACATTATTATCGACGTTAGTCGACGCAAATTTCTCCCTGTTCTCCTAGAATTAAACGGCAAGGTTAGTCACTGTGGCTATAATAGACTCTCGATAACTCAAACCCTCTCTAATACGAACCAAAATCGATTTCCCCCTGATTTCCATCGTGCACTTACTGTAATGTTAATCTCCCGCTAACTCGAAGCAGTTTTCTTTACCCTACAGGTTATTCTCTGTATATATTTTTTTATGTAGCCACGTCTATCAATACGTGACAAATCAAAACAAACGGTGAAATGCAGTCCAGAACTTTTACTGTATTTTATTTATTAATTTTTATTATCATTATCACTTTTATTTCGAGCATCCATTTTTTTTTTTTGGCATTACAGAAACCGTGAAGGGCGAGTTCAAGGTTCGTTGGTTTAGGGTATATGTAACTTCGGTCCCTATATGTTCAATTCGCGATATCTCGACCCTTTTATTTCCAGTTTCCCTTGAAGGTCAGATTTAACGATCGGGAGTCGACTTTATATTCAAACGGTTTTGTAAAAGTGTGAGAATTCGTTTGTATGTCTGCTATAAATTTCTCGTATTAATCGTTTCTCTCCTTGACCATAAAATTGAAGTTAAAAAGTTTTTTTTTTTTTTTTGAGACAGGTAGAGACCTAATGCAGATTTCTTTCATTGAACTGCTTCGGTTTCTACTCTAGTATATAATTATTGGTGGAAAGAAAGATGTGGAAACTAGTTTTCTACTTGCAAGGTATTTAAAAGAGGGTATTAAAAAACCGATAAGCTTAGACGAGAGGCTCGTAACGCTCAGCTTTAGAACGGTGTCCGATTCACTTTATTAACTCAGTTCATACACAAAATCACCTGATTTACTTGCTTAGCCCGCATGGGTCCGTCTGTATATAATGGTAATAGGACTGATTCGAGTCCAATTCAGTCTGTAATCATACAAGTGATGAACAAGATCGGACCACAGCTAAGCTATAGTCTGATTTGTCAATCGCGAGTATGATTACTGACAGAATTGGACCATACAAAGTACTGTTACCAATTAATCATAACCGTTACAATTTCAAAAAATAAATAAATAAATTTAGGAAAAACATCATTGGGCAGAGACAGTGTCTAAAGTAAAAACTCAATCATTTTAATTGCTGGGTTACGCGCCTAACCCAGTGGTATGTCCTACCAAAGTGTGTCTTGTAATACACTAGTGTTCATGAGGTTAAAAATAGGGATTACTAATCGGTAATCTCAGATAGAGAACAGCCAAGGCAAATAAGCGGTGTGTGTTATTTTTTTAAACAAAAATTTCGAACATAAGTGAAAAAAATATAATGATAAGCAAAGAGTAAAAAGTATGCTTTTATCAGGCAGGCGTTGACGATTGGAGAGGACAAAATCTAACGTTTCAGCAAACTGAGGAAGAATTATCCATGATATGGATATTTAACAATTATTTGCCGAAGTGGAGGTAAATAGTGGTGGGTAATTTCCAAGGTGCGAATAACTGTTTTGGTATATACCATACAGGAACCAAAACAATCAGTACATTTCTGTCAAATAACAAAAAATTATTGGAAATTAATGATTGACGCGCGAGATTGTCTCTTTGGCTGCTCGGAGGTGAATAGTACTTGCTAATCTCTTCCGAAACAGCCAATCAGCGCGCTCGAAAAGCACTACCCACCTGTGTGGTAATTACTAAATGATGAATTAATAAATCTACAGCGCTTTTGCGTAGTCTTATTGACACGATAATCGTCATCACAGAGTTCAAAATGTCGTGGACTCACGAGGCGCAGCAGTCCAGGCTGACGCACTCTCAATTAGCTTTCTTTTTTTTTTTTGTTTTTTTATTACAGTATCGACGTGAAATAAAAGGATTCTTTAAGTGCATGACCAACTTCGTGACACGGTAACGTGGCAGCGTTGTCTGTGCTCTTATCGACAACAGAAAATAGATCATAACTTTATAAATTTAACCACTCCTTAGCCGGAAGAAGAACACGAATTTGCTGTATTCGGAACTCCAGAGAAAGAAGACAAAAAGCGAGAGAATATTTGGAACTGGGAATATCTGGTGAAAACCAAGCGAAAGGAAAGAACGTTAACGCCCTTTAGCTTGACGCCTTAAATCAGCTCAAGCCGTGAACGCGTCGTCACGTGACCTCTAAGAGAGCAACGGGAGGAATTTACAGAGCAACCGACCATCGTGAACGCCCTGTTTCACTTTTTTTTTTTTTTACGACAATTTGATGGCATTTAAGATGACAGGGATTAAAAATAGAGGTTGTTTCGTTGTTGATTCAACTTACTTGCAATTTGTGTTCATTCAGATCAAAAAACACTCAAACATAACTTTGAAAATTGATCAGGCAACCTAAATTTGATGTCAAAAGAAATATCATGTCAGAGAGAATTTCTTAAGGATATTAATGATGCACTTGTGGACACGGCTTCTCTCTGTACAAGTGAGTAAGGCGCTGCTTTTTTTTTTTTTTTTTTTTTTTAAATAAAATTTTGAAGCAATAAAGTTATCATCTGCGCGTTACCTCAGCTCATAGAAATGCTTGTGCAATTTAGAAATAAAGCCAGATTCTGTCTACATTTTTTCCCTTCAAGAAATCGTGAGAAGGTTAAGTTACTGAACTGTTTGTGCTGTGTAATTGTCAGAAAAGCTGCAGCAAGAAGGGATAAGGCAATAATTACATTTCACCAGAGACATCAAAACTTATTTGAGTCATACAGGCGGTTCATTAAGCATGGAGGGCTTTTAGAGATCTGATCTTCATTTGCCGAATTTCTTGCTTTTTTCGTCAAAAACTGAATTGAAACGTTTTGAGGAAATTGAAATATTCCATACTTTTGCATTGATTCTGCAACACATTCCTTTGAAGCTGTTGCTTGTGCGACTGCTTCCTTAATGAATACAGATTACAAAGAAAACAAATGAATAAAAAATAAATGAATGACAATACGCTGTATACTTAAGGCCTAATATTTTTCAAGAACTGAAACCAGGCTATATAATAAAGTTGCAGAGTAAATCGAAAGTCACTTATGCTTCATATATTTTTCTTTTGTTCCAGGAAAATGAAATGCCTTTTGCTGGATATATTAAAATGTATCGGTGGTATTGAGCATTATGCTAAGCTCAAGATTTTACACAGCTGATGACGTATGATGACGTGATGTTTAGCATGGATACGCTTTATTTTATACCAATTCCGGTTGTAAGCCGATTTTCTCCAGCTCAATGGACATTAAATTTAGGAGGGCATAAGCCTCCAAATGGAAGATAAATAAAGAAACTCCTTAGTTTACTTTAAAAGGTCGGTGTGTCTTGAAGTCCCAGACTAGAAACAATAGACCTAAAAGCACAGATCTATAAAAAAATTGACTTGCTGTGCTCTCCGCGTGGTACACGAAAAGTCTCATCTAAGGGGGGAAAATACGAAGAAAATTATACTATAAAAATCCCGTACTTCATCGGGAATTGAGTATGACATCTGAAAAACAAAATAAGCTAGTTAACAAATCAGAAATGAGGATGAAACTTTGAATAATGAAAACAGCCGCTTTGCAAAGAGAGAACTGTCATTTAAATTTGCGTGATTTTCCAAAAATTATAGACCAAACTATTCCATACGCGCGAGACTTTCCACCCATCAAGTTTTTTTTTTTCAAGTGTTACTTTAAAAGCCCTTGCTTTCAGCTGCAGCAAAATGCACTGTGAACTGATCAAATGACGTGCGTGATTATTTGCCAGCACAAGCATAAATGGGGTGAGTTTGGCTCATCACATCTCTGAAACAAACATGGTGTCCTATCTGTCTTCTTGTCTTTTTCGAAACAAACATTATGCCCTCTCTGAGTACTTATGTTGTGCTTCCCCAATGGTCCAAAAAAGGGTTTAAAAAACGGTCAAAAAATAGTCCAAAAAATAGTCCAAAAAATAGTCCAGTCCACATTTTACCCTATGTCTTATCCGCAACAAACAATGATTCCGACCAAGTGCAATGATACCAATTACTGCTTTAGTTGAATCAAAACTAGAGAACATTCGTAAGGATTAAAAGAGAATTTAATTCTGTTTTTGTTTCCTGTAATCGTTTTTGTCACTTTTGTGTTATTTGATCCGGAACTCCGGTCGATACTTACAAATGAATAATTCGACACGAAAATTATGCGCTTTTGTTTTATAGGTTAACATCAGCGCGCTACGATCTAGAACTCATGGTTGCAACGAAATAAATCAGTTTAATACTGTGAATATATTATTATGTTTATCATAGTTACAGTAATGTGACAATCTGATTGGCCACTTTGCCGTTGTCGATAAGAGCACAGACAACGCTGTCACGTCACCGTGTCACGAGGTTGGTCATGCGCTAGGAGAATCTTTTTATTTGACCTCGATATTGTAATAAAAAAATTAAAAAAAAAAAAAAAAAAAACTAATTGAGAGTGGGTTAGCGTGGACTGCTGCGCCTCGTGAGTCCACAACATTTTGAACTCTGTGATGACGATTATCGTGTCAATAAGACTACGCAAAATCACTGTCGATTTATTAATTCATCATTCATAGTTTAGTAATTACCACACAGGTGAGTAGTACTTTTCGAGCGCGCTGATTGGCTGTTTCGGAAGAAGTTAGTAAGCACTATTCACCTCCGAGCAGCCAAAGAGACAATCTCGCGCGCCAATCAGTAATTTCCAATAATTTTTTGCTATTTGACAGAAATGTACTGATTGTTTTGGTTCCTGTATGGTTTATACCAAAACAGTTATTGGCACCTCGGAAAGTATCCACCACTATTTACCTCTACTTCGGCGAATAATTGTTAAAAGTTAGTTTAGTGTATATTGCGTAATGAAATACGCGAAAACAATGGTGTTGGATTAGTTGAAAAACAAATAGGTTGAAGGTGTTGTATATTCCTCTAAATCATCTCGATAATGTGCACATTTCCATTTGCGCAGCCCACAACAGCAGATTTCCCCTTTGACGAGATGTTCACGGCAGTTATTTCCGTGTTGTTGACTGTGAAGGTTCCCATTACTTTATTAGATCTGACCTCTTGCGCTTTAACAACACCCTCTTGTAAACTGTAAGTCAAAAGTTCCTCTGATATCTTTCGCAGACAAGATTCACCATTAACCACGCTCAAGCCAGAAAATTGCCCAGGAATCTGAAATGTCTGAACCGTCAATCCTTCTCTATCTATGACGTGAAAAATACCTTCATTAGCGACGGACGAAACACTGTAGGAAGATCTCCTCTTTGTCCTGCCACTCTTAACTTTTTGAGAAGCAGTTACATTGTTACGACACTGAACAAATGTCACCAGGTATTCGCAACCAACTTTCACCCGGCGAATGATGGTGGGATGTAAGGATATTTGGACTTTCCAGTTAGTGTGGTTGTTTAGGTCCCACAAGTGAACCTCAGCAGGTCCTTTCATCCAATCCTGAGAATTACTTTGTCTTGGTACACTTATAGCCACAAGTCTGCCACATGTGTTTGAAATGGCTGCTTCTGTGATCTGTTTATAAAATTTAAGGAGACAATATTGCTGCGATTAATCTACTCAATTTTAGTTGGAGCCAGAACCGCAACAATTATATGCCATCTCAGAAACTAGTGTGGAGAAACAAGGGATTATTAAGAGACCCGGAGATTCCATGGGGAAAAAGAGGTTAAGGAAAATATTAGCTTGTTTTATTCTAAGAGCAAGGTCTAAGTTTATGCTGTGACATTTCGGTCCAGATTGCAATAAGTAATGTTGTCTTTCGCTTCTAAGATAATCGGTGAAGGCTAGATTAACAGACACCCTGGTTGGAAGTAACACTGTTATTCCTGATTAACCCATTTTTAATCGCAGGTTAAAAGTACAACAAAGAAATAAGCATTAAGAGCCTTGACAGAGAATGAAAGGATTGCCGAAATGTGGCATCTTCCCTTGTTGCGTCTCTTATGTCCGAAATAATGTGTGGCGCTGATAATCTAGTCTAACATGATCAAGAACATTATTAGATGCCAAAGCCTACTATTTTCAAATGTATGACTGTCTAAAATATCCCGTAAATTGTCACGAACATTCCAACAATCACAAACATAATTTACCTGATTTCCACTGTCCACCGAAAATCTCTGTTCAAATGCTTCCCTTTCATTCAGATCCTTTGGCGGTGGATCTTTGAGCTCATGTTTTGCCCATTTCTCTAAACTGTATTTATTGATAGCGAGATAGAGTCTCACAGTTTCTGGCTCACTCTCCGTGAACAGGCAGGTGTACAAGCCATCAGATGTGAATTTAGTGAAGAGGTGTCGAACAGTTAGAAAAGTGAGAGTTCTGATATAAAATGCAAAAAGAATTATTCAATCACTTACTCAGTCTGCTAACTGTGTAGTCAGTCGAGGGGTCACTAAAGCAGTCGTGGGTCTCTGTCTGTCAGTCAGACGGCCAGTTTTTTCAGTCAGTCCCATGATCAGTTACGTTACTTTGTAAGGTAGTCATGTATGTTTGTCAGATAGAGGAGCCAGTCGGTCGGTCAGTCAGCCAGTCGGTTAGTTAGTCAGACAGACAGACAGATAGTCAGTCAGTCAGTCAGCCAGTCCGTTAATATGTCCGTAGGTATGACCGTTGGCTCGATAGTCCGTCCTTTAATCTATCAGTCTCCTATGCTACAGTCTACTAATCGTTTAGCTCGTCATCATTTAAGTATGTCGACCTACAAATCAGTTAATTAGCCAATCGTCTGATCGTTTAATCAATCAGCTGACCGATAATCAGCTAACCCAGTCATTCAGCTGTCCATCGCGAAAAAAAGCATAGATCACCTGTGGGCTCCCATAAGAAGACTCCTGTCAGATCCATGAGGGTCAACTCCTGACTTCAGATGCCACACATCCACGCCAGTCTCAACAAACACTGATACGAATGAGGCGTCTTCAGAGAAACAGGGGCAGGTGCCACTGGCTGCAAGGACAGTTTTGCAAGAGACAATACCATGGGTCGTTATTACAGGTGGTATGATACAACGCATGAAAAGAAATTAAGAAGCCAAGTGATGCAGGTAAATCCTTTGGAAAAAACTTCACCTAAAGGTGCTCAGCACAGTAAGGTTTAAGTGAAACATTTTTATCATTTAAAGTCCACTGAATGCAGCAAGAGTATCTAAACGTCATCCCTATTAAACAAATGTCCAGTATTTTCAGCCAATAAGAGATCATTTTTTTCTATTAATGATGGTAATAGGAATGAGTGGAGTCCAATTCGGTCTGTAGTAATGCGAGTGGTTGGCAAAATCGGACTTATACCCCATTCACACCAGCAAAACATGTTTTGTTAAACTGGTTTTCATTGAATGAAAATTATAAACAGAGAACTGAAAAACTTGATTTTCCATAGGATTCAAGTACTTGCTAACTTGCATTTCCAATGTGCTACATTCAAGTCAAAAATATTCGGTTAAATAGTTTCTATGAAGAAAAAAAAAAATTAAACTGTGTTTAACAAAACAACTTTTAAACATGTTTAAGCTTTGGTGTGAATGGGGCATAAGTTAATCGGACTTTAATCAAACTATGTCAAATTTGAACAAAGAAACTAGATGTCAGTTACAAGTTTATAAAAAAGATAACTCGGCGAAATGCACGAGAACAGCGAACGCTAATGACGCTTACTATCCACTTACACTGACATGAGGTGTTTTAGCTGCCCAATTAAGAGCATGACACCTACGCTGTCCTATTAGTACTTAAATGAGGCTGGTGATAATCAATCACGTTGAAGAATGCTGTTATAGTTTTGATTAAGGGGAAAAGGGAACCACATAGCAATTGCAGTTTTACCTCCGTTGCCAGAGGCAGGGTGTAACCGATGCAGTCGGTGTACAGGTGACTGTGCCTGCCAAACCCATGTCTCAGTCAAGGAACAACTTACTGCTAATCTATTGTCATTGGAAAACGTACACTCTTGAACGGCACTGTTGTGATTCTGAAGAAGGCAAAATCAGATAAGGATTTCAAACATACCGGTCAGAAACACTTAGACTTGTCTAACAACAAAAATCTTCACCGGTGTCAATTAAAGAGGCGAGTATGTTTATTATATGCAAAACTAGAGTTGACTTTATGTTACAATAATATATATCTTTTGGCAAACAATATGACCCATGTCTTTGCTTGTCTCAGTTACTCTGATCGTTTCATCTCATTCGCTGTATAAAGCTTCAAATCGTAGAATTGAGGAAGTACATATGTTCTCATTTATTAAAACCTACGTATTCTACTTTATTTCAACTTGCATTGTTGACAACCTAATTTTTACTTGTGGGCAACCGACTCGGTTAAGCTGATAGACTTACCGGTAATTTGACTACTCTGGGCGAGGGCATGTTTCTCGTATCCCACAGCTGAACGGTGCTGTCATCTGAGGCTGTTGCAATCAAGGGATGACCGCTTTCTCTGTTCCCGATACAGCAGGTTCGAATTTCACCTGAGTGGCCAGTCAGTGTTTCCCACTCCGGACTTTTATCATACGGTTTGGGTGCCATGCATAATACCTTCAGTGAGAATTAAATATGTTAAAATGTTTTATTTCCTGACACGTGTATAGCTAGAACAAAGAAGAAAATCTGATTCCCTAAGAGAAATCGAACCTTGGACCTCGGATTCCGCGCTTCGATTCTCTACAACATGGTTAAAAGGACCAAAATGGTGAGCAAAGCAATCACTAGTTTTAAATTTTGACAGAATGTAAAGATGAATAGAAAAATGATAGAAGATCTTATCTCTTCCCGTCAACCATGGCCACAGAAGAGTCAGTATTTCCAGATGAATCATACCTGGAGATGTTCCTTGTCTTTGAGATCCTGAGTAGCAATGTGGCCGAAGTCTGGAGAAAACACGACAAACTCGACACCCAAACAGTTCATGGCGAGTGTCTTCAGGAGTTTTGCTGTAATATAAGTAAGCTTTTATAATACTAGGGACTTACATGATTATTTTTGATCACAATGCACTTATGATAGAGATGGCGAAAAAAGCTCAAATCTGGGGACCTTTAACTTTAAGAGAAACAAACCATAGATAACATCAAGACAATAGAGTAGGTAGACCGGTTGTGACAAGGTTTGACTCCTCCTACCCTACCCCCTCCCACACCCTCCTCTTTTCTTCTCTGAAAAATCCCAGTTACGTCTCCTTTCCTTCGGGTATCACTTCAGGTTGATTGCTTTTCCCCTTACCAGTCTCTTCTTGCCGTTTTCTTTTAAACCGTTCCAATCACTTTATGATATATGATAATGAGCGACACCACTCACCACTTTGAATATTCCATATATAGGTTCCATTTGACAACACTGCTCCTAATTTTGCACCCTTCCTCGAAAAACTTATGGTAGCACCATCCATTTTAGGAGCATTCTTCTTACCAGTTTCGAAGACTCTCACATCCTTGTCGAAATAAAAGAAAATACATTCATGCTCATTTTAAAAAAAGGCTGAAGCGTTCTTTTTCCGCTTTTAATTCAAGAATTGCGAAACTGAAGTCATAGCGAACCTTATGGGTTTTCGGGCTCCACAAATACATTTTGTCCGATCCAAAAGCTAATGAGTTACCGTCAGGAGAAATCGTTAGAACCTTTGGCCTCCTCTGCAAAAAATTAGAAAGAAACGTTTCTATTATTACTTGAACGGCCAGCTATGATAAATATGTATAACCTAAGTAGCGGTTTTAAAGAAAGCTAGAGATATTGAAACTGTTAGCTAGAGGTATAAACCCTTTTGAAGTTTTTTTACAAGCGTCTTAGAAGACCATTTGAAATAGCTCAGAGGGCAGATTTGACTAATGATAACCAAACTTACTTTGCTAGTCCTACCAGACTGTTTTTTTCGGATATTTTTTCAAGAGAATATATGTTTTGTGATAATCCTTAATAGAAATAGTCGTTTACGATAACATTTCTCCTCAAGCATTGTGTTTGAGTGAGATAAACGTATAAGAGCTCGATCCATTTTTCTATCTTTTGAAATCCACCAAAATATTCAACTAAAGGCTCGTTAATACTCACCGGGAGTTCCTCTTTCATAACAGGCTGTCCATTAGAGGAAGGTGAAGTGCTATAGGAACGTAGTTTTCCATGTGATGTTGCCAGAAATATCTACCATAAAGACATAGTTATTCAGTTTTATGAACAACTGAGTTAAAAAAATATATATTTTGAAAATAGTGAAAAAACAAAAAACATAACGGTTACAGGAAAGAGAATAACGAGCGTTCATCGATCCCTGTTAATATCTTCTCAGTCATTTTACCTCCCAAGCCTTGCCTTTCTTGGTACTGACAATGCTTGCTTTATCGTCAATTTCGCAGTCAACGTTTATCTCCTGTAGAGTTGTCCCTAGTTAAAATAATTGTAGATAAAATCAATGATGCACATGTCGATGACTAAATGAATATTTAAATCAATATATAAACGTTGAAGTGTAGGAATTGCTAAAATTGAGTCTTCTATAGTCTTGATGCTAGTCTTCACGCGGCAAAAAAACGTAACGCGAGATATTGGGGCAGTATCATGTAAGGGTAGGTAAGAGTTGTAAATACTATACCTTCATGTTGGCCACCAGTGCCCAGGCCGTAACGGACAATAGAGTGTGAACCAGCAATTGCAACCCAGTGGCACTGGTCTATGCTGGCGGGAAATGATATCACCTGACATTCACAATGCTTTGTCATGACGGTATAGCCACTCGCGACCTAAACAGAAAGGATGTAAAAGGCTTGTCCATGATTGACATCAAACCAAAACAAAGGAAATCTCTTATGAAAGTATGTTAAAAACTCAATTGACCAAAACAAAGCTGTTTAGGCTATAAATGAGTTTCATAGGGGAAAGGAGGAACCTTGCAGAAAATTTTACAGCGAAAATCTGTTGGATCGCTCTACATTATTTCCATTTACACAGCATCATAGCATTTAACTATTATATTATTGATCTTTTATTGTTATATTTATGCCTCATGCTCCGATCAAGCCCTAAATTCAAACTCGGTACTAACCATAAATACACGCAACACACCATCTGTAGCGTACGTGGCCAGATATTTGCAGCCTTTTGAGAAAACACATTTCCTGACTCCAGCTGGATGCTTAAATGATGCTACGTTGATCTTACGAGACTCCAACTTCGTTAAATCTCTCCAAAGAGTGATCTTGGCGCCTTCAGTTTTGTTGGCTGTTTCCAAATATTTCTTGGTTAAGAGGAGAAAATCAATCAAAAACAGAGGAAAATTTCACATTTTTTTAAAATTATCCCTGATTCAATGTTTATTTGATGGTCGCCATTTAACCTTGGGCCCCTCTTATTACAGATGACACCGATCTATGTCAGTATCTAAGCAATTGTGCACCTACACCTCCCCTGGCCCCACAACAATCAACTGATAACCAAGAGATGATAAACTGTTTATAATATTTTTCTGATAACAAGCTAAGGTTCATTCATTTCAGGTTAGGAAAAGGGTGAGTGCGCAGTGACTAAGATACCGACATTAATCTAATAATACAGAAATTAGCGGGATCTTTAGAAAACATCTCGTTTTAATCATATCCATATGATATTCTAACGCAGGTCATCTTCTGCTGTTAGCTTTTTTTCTTTTGTGGTTGTACATCTTGTACAACCAACACCACTGTTGCTGAGCGTAGAATTCTACTATACAGCATGAAAATAGTGGTGTATCTAACCTTGGCCATAGTAGCACAATATGAAATATCAGGTTCATTGAGGCAAAGCTGTGGTACAAGCTCGGGGAACTGACTCAGCTGTTGAGCATTGGCTCGAATGCAACTGTATACGTCCTCTATTGTGACTGAGTTGTCATTGCTGCACTTCAAAGATGCCTGGAAATGAGGGATGTAAAGAAAAATGTTCAAAGATGATGTCAATGCAAACGCGATAATCTAAAAGACCACTGACCACTTAGACTTTGTAAGCAGCTCAGTAACAACAACAAAACAGGTATTGCTTTGAATACAGAGTATTTTATTGTCCCAAGAGGAGTGGTTGAAATTAACGAACAGAGGCCGAAGTCATATCGAACATAACTAAAGCAATGGTATAAAATTCGTGATGGTATAGTCTGATCGTCCGGGTGAGCGTAATCCCGAGACGGACATTTGTCGGTAGTGGTGACTGACGTTCGACAACCTGAGCGGAAGTCATCATCAGAGTCAAGTAAATAGTCCTTGTCAGACGAATGTTCTAAGTCCGGTTCGTATAAACTGATTGGTCAGTTTTGCCTTTATGTTATTAGCTGTAAGACACAAGTGGCGTAGGTCGGTCGTGATTGGTCAAACCATTCACGGTATAAAATTAATTAAAAATTACTGATTTCACACCTTAGTATCTCTAAAATCAGAGGAATTTAGCAATTCAGAAATCTAAAAGCCAGAGTTACCAGCTTTTCCTTTCAGGAAAACCTACCTCAGAGAGTTCAAGGGTGAGTTCGAATGCTTTGCCAGCCTTACACTTTGCCATCAGCCATGGAATCTGACACACAATCTTGAAGATAATAACAATCCCTTAGATTTCGTCATTATTCTTAAGAGTGTTGATTAATCAGCATTACCTGGTTGTTAATGCAAAGGTTTGTAGCCACAAGTTTTGTGGAATTGTCAAAAAAGAAAAGAAAATTGTTAGAATTATAGCAGATAGAGCCCTTATTGACTGGCAAGGCAATAAATAGGAACGGCAATAACCTACGTATTGTCAAGTGCGACCTTTCTTTGAGAAACATATAATTACGAGGGTCTCCTATGTTCTGCAAACCTCAGGTTTGCATGAATTGCTTCTTTCGTTTCAGCATGTATAAAAAAGGGAAAAAAGTTTGTGTAGAAAAGCGTGATTTGGAAATATAAGTAATATTAATGGGCAACAGACCTCCACAAATTCATTCCACATGTCACATCTGATCAAATGGTAAGGTAACTCGCTTAGCTTGCGCAAGTTGTATCTTGGTCCAGTCTCTTCATCTTCGGAATCCATTCTACTTCCTGAGTCTTCATTACTTAATACCAGTGGCTGATCTGCCACCATTCTAAACGCACTTCGTATTGTTCCATCTTTGTCTGTATATGGCTTGGCTTCCCGCGCCCACCTTAACGTAGAAAATGATTGAGTCACCCTCCAGGGTAAAGTGGCTTAGATAGAGCACGATCAATGGAATTCTGTGCCTATTTTTTTCAAAGTGTTTCTCAGCTTTGATTCTTAAAAGGGTTAATTACATGTAAAGAAGCGCTAGTGAGAATATTGATTATGGGAAAGATATTGTTATTGTGAATGATAAAGGCATACTCGGAAAAAAAGAAATTCGAGTGCTCACAATAGGAATCGAACCTACAACCTTCCGATTATTACCGACTAGAGGACACTAGTGATAGGCTTGGCTGTTCAAGAAGGACCATGGTGAAATTTGTTATCCTTATTACAAAAAATCTGGTTTAAAATATGCCAATTGAATTGAGTACCCTACATCGGCATTTTCACTCCGCTCTTACCTGATTCTATTTACCACTAAAACGGCAACGACTGTCTTAAATTCATAAACCAGGTCAGCCCGTCATACTTTTTTTCTCAGATATAAATCGCACGGTGTTCAGGGATTTTCCTAAACACTTGCTTTTATTGATTGTGTCACAATGAGAATGCCTGAACCATTTTGTCACTGGACACGCTAGTAACACATTAACGTCTGAGTCCTACTGTTTTGCATACCTGCCATTGAAGTAATTTGCTAAATCCCTGTGAAGCGAGTCTGTAAAAGGCTTGTCACTCAAGAAATAATTTCTTGCTGCCTCCAGAAACAATCTGTGATACCACTTGTATACCACGTGACCGTCTGCTGCTACTTTCACCAGATAACCGCCTGCAAGGACGCAAGCACCAGAAGAAGTAACAATGGTTATTGAAAATAACAATTACAGCGCGATAAGTTTCTTCAGTTTCTTCCCCTTCAAGTTTTTACAAGCTAGGCTGCGCGAGCTACAGGTAGTCATTCCTTTACTACTCTAATGCTGTACAGGAGGCCCCACTGACCATAGTAAGTTCCAATTGTTAGAAAATCTCCAATGAGCGGAAAACGTCTTGGCACACTAGATTAGTTTTTTTTTTACTTACTAGAGAGGAATTACAATTACTATTATCTTGAGTGGTGGGTTGTCGATCTCCTGGTGAAGGTAGGCATGCCAAATAACTTTCTAACATATTGAAGTCGGTGATCATTTATGACTGGCGCTGCTATTCTTGAAAACTGCCTTTGATGACTAGTTAAGACTTGGTATTGTAAATGTTTGGACTCAAATTCCATTGTTAACATTCATGTTGTGCGTTTGGCTTTTCTCTTTTCTTTGTAACAAACCTCTTACCTAAGTCATTGCGGAGTCGAGTCCACAGTAGAGGAGGCAGCCTTCTGATTGGTGGCACGTGGTATTTAAAAACCTCATCGGCGAGAACGATATCGTCACATGACAAGATATCTTCAAGTTCTGACTTCGAAAGACCCGTTTTAGAAGCTGTAATGTAACCTAAAGCCCTACGGACAAACTTTTCCCCATGCTCTGTGATCAAGCTGAAACGCAAAGGATTTTATATATAACCATAGCGACAGGACATCTCTCAATAGAATTAAAGGTAGCAAGGGGCCTTAGACATCTCCTTTCAGGATAAGTTTATGGTAAGTGGCACTGTTAAGTTTAATTCATTGCTCTTGCAAACTCCTTCCGCTCAGAGGGGAACTTAAAAAGATACATCTAGAAACTGTCGGACTTTCGATGTAGAGGTAAAATTGTATGGGCCCTTTTCAAGAGGATTTTTCGAAAATTACGCAGTAGCTGTTTTATTACATTTTTGATGGAAATTGGATAGTTTTATGAGATAGTTGGGAGTATTATCGTATGATTGTTATAATGCACGAAGAGAGCTGATCTCACGAACTATAAGACAAAATGACAATGTAGGAAATATGCTATATTGAAGTAAGTTATTGATTCAAAGTTGTAAAGTGAGCGGTCTTCTAGGAAATCTGACTTGCAGGCCTAGAACAATCTCCCAATAGATCCTTGGGCCTTACGTTTGTGAATGTAGATTCCATTACAAGTTATTCACCATGATTGAGGATAGAGTATTACAAATATATTTATTATAATATTACAAATATTTTATTTCCTATCAAAAAATTCAAACTTACGAACCGTTCAAAAAGCTGTATGATCAGCTCCGTCGCAGTCGGTCTTAATTCGTTGTGAGTGTTTTCAGTGAACGATTTCCAACGAAGAGCTGTATCACAAGCTAGTTTCATGTAAAGTGCTGTTGGCTTGGAGCAGGTTTCTAATACTTGAGATCTTTGCTGTGCTGTGAGTTTCCTGCAAAGTTCGATTATCAAACCAATCAGTGATATCACTGAGGATGACCTTTGGTGCGTTTGTACATGCACATTACATTGCATTTTCTATATAGTATAGTGGAAGTATACTGGACCTGAACGAAATGAAATACGACAAGAGGGTTGTCAGTCTGCCGAGAAAAATGATGATCGCTGCCTTCATCTCTGGTTCTGTATGAATACATTTTTGGATAGAAAAACGAAATCGACCACTCAGGCTAGGTTTCGAATCTTCAAAGCACTATAAACATTATCCATGATGTCGGAGTTAAGGTGATAAACATTTAGTCTGTGGGTAGAGTCACTGCTATATACGTTTTGTTCTGTATGTTAGGAAAGAAACAAACTTTCTAACGATGAGTTAAGAACCACTTAAAAGTGAAAGCATACCTTTTCTCTTTTTCTAATCTCATATCTAGAATGCTTTCAGCATCACTCGATTCCAAGCATGAAACCTTCGGAAAAAGTAAAGAGTATGCGAAACCAAAAACAATAAGGTGTGGTTTATGTAACATTTACGGTAAGCTTATTCATGGAGTCACTACAATAAAAGATGATATGATCATTGAGAAATCTAGATAGCTTGGCCATCAAGGATCGAAGGGAACAAGATTACAGCTTGTATATCTTTAAAATTTCGACGCCGAATTTCTTTCGCTGGACGTGATCAGTAATAACTGTTTTGCATTCTTGACCATCCACTTTCCTTCTTTATTTATTTTTTTTCCACCTGTCATTGTTTTCTAGTTCACCTAGCTGATATTTGGCTGCTTTACCAGAGCTGAAGATTATTCTATGCCTCGCAGAAAATTAATAATTCACTTGACTTTATAACTACCCTAAGGTGACTTCTACCGCGGAATGCAATTATTTCATGTACAAGTTCATATCATATGCAAAGTATCAGAGCAGGAATAAGCGACAAAAAACTTACCTCAAGATAAAAGTCAGCATTGCTCTCTGGTTTTAGTTTGGTTTTTAGTACAGCAAGGCACCCTCCTGTATTGGGAAGGGTGCTCACCACAATGTGGACATTTTTTGGCAAGCTCGTTGGAAGCCATCTTAAGGCACGTCCATCATCTTGGTTTGACAACTGGTCCAGTGAGTCGAGAAATAAAACTGAAAAATGTGAGTTTGGATTAAATGGGTACTGTCACATGATCTAATTGTTATTAAGCTTAATTCATGCCAACTCATACTATTAGCAAGCTCCGTTCATTGTTTTTGCCTAGGGAGGGGGAAATGGTTGTGGTTTGAGGATTTCGAATGTGTCACAATCAAATTGTTACTGATTTGAGATACGAGTGATTCTCGCAGCTATGAACACTACTGAACTAGTAGTTGAAATGGGACCTTAAAAAAATTCAGGCCCGTACGGAATTTGAACCCCATGACTTCTGCGATACCTGTGCAGCGCTTTACCAACTGAGCTAACAAGCCAGCTGGGTGTTAGTCATAATGTCGGACCCAAAGAAACCTTCCAAGTGGTGAATAATGACTGGAAATATATGAAAATCATATGTCTGCACTGCGGTGAAGAAATGAGATGTATGCAATCCTCGCAGCTATGAACACTACTAAACTAGTAGCTGAATTGAGACCTGAAAAAATTCAGGCCCGTACGGGATTTGAACCCATGAGCTCTGCAATACCGGTGCAGCGTTCTTCCAACTGAGCTAACGAGCCAACTGGGAGCTGGTCATAACGTCGGATCCAAATAAACCTTCCAAGTGGTGAATAATGATTGGAAATATATGAAAATCTTATGTGTACACTGCGGTGAAGAAATACTAAACTAGTGTAGCTTTCGTAGCTGTGAGGATCGAAGTCATTATTCACTACTTGGTTCAAATCCCGTACGGGCCTAAATTTTTTTCAGGTCTCATTTCAACTACCAGTTCAGTAGTGTTCATAGCTGCGAGAATCGCTTAAATCTCATTTCTTTACTGCAGTGCATGTATATGATTTTCATATATTTCCAGTCATTGTTACTGATTTCCCCCCTATGTGGCAGCTAATTAGAAGTCAAGTCTCTATAGTCCACCTTCCATACCCTGTTGGCGATGTCTGATCCCACGCCGAACCCTCTGAGAACTATGTGATTACCCCCAGAAATCCTCTCTTTCCACCCTCAGGTGATAAATAATGACTGCCGCCAAGGAAGAGTAAATATACAACGAATGGTATGTATTACCTATCGGATTTTCTGGTGTGGCTCTCTGGAGAAGAGAGCGAAATGTTGCCACCAGTCGCTCACAGTTGTCGGTAATAACTGTTGATGTATCGTTCAACACCAAACACATCTGCAATTGCAACGGAAATTCATAGTGATGAGGATATAATTGATTCAGTGCGCAAAACCATAGAAATCCCATCTTTTAATCAGAGAAAACTGTGTACCATTTATCATCAGAAGCATCTACAGATCTCTTAAAGATCATATAAGTAAGTAGTTCAAGCGAAGGAGAGCAAAAATTACCAAGGAAGGATTGGTTTTACATTTTCGTCTTCTTAGTAGCTTGTTCTAGGCGCAAAAGTAACGACCGCCCGACCTAAACCTTCTGTGTTTTGTAACTTCTCCGCTACCACCGTGCCGTGTTCCAGCACCCTTCGTTTCACTACCTGAACGCCTGGAACAGGCTTCCTCTCCTCGTATGAAAACTAAGGTATTTCAGATTCCTTAGGATACTCCGTCACACAAGTGCTCTGTGAGGTCATTTTTAATAGCACCAGCCAGACGACCTTATTGCACCGGTACAGATTAGAGGTATCTTTTTGGCCAACGCTATCCGAGCAAACCTGCGATCATTGAAAACATACCTGCTGACACAGGCTCCTCAACAGAGATCTTACATCAGACGAAAAGGGTGAAGTGCCAATGAATCGTATGAAATGAAATGGCCTACAAAATTAAATAAATTATGCATACTTAAACTTTTGCAATCTTACAATAAGAAGGTAAAAAAAAAAATATGTGGGTTTTTGCGAAGTGAGACACAATGACCTTTGAATGCTGTTGGGAACAGGTTATAAGGTCCCAGCTTCTTTGTTTTGGATAAAAAAAGTAACCAACCAAAGTAAAAGTAAAAATACCAGATCTTTGCAGCATTACAAATGCAATAGGGATACTTGCATAGTTAATGTACCCTATCCTAAATAATTTCATTTCAAAACAAAAGTCAAAATAAAATAAAGGTTTTCGGGGACAACAACGGAAATTTATCCGCTTCTGGAAAACAATCACTATACATTAGAAATATCAAACTATGGATAATACGACATAAGAAGCTAATATTGCAAAGTATTCCCTTTGTTAATTGTATTACAGAACTGTTACCTGCCAGTCTCTACTCCACTCCAATTTTCAATGGACATATCATACACTTTGGCCATAAGGGACGTTTTTCCACATCCGGAAATACCATGCACAATAAAAGGCTATAAAAAGGGTTTTATTTTGTAAGTAGTGTCTCAAACACACGAAATAATGGTCGATTCTAACTCGTTCTACTCTACTGATAGTAGGATTGCGACGGCAAGGGGAGGTGGCGAAACAAAAGATTTAATTTACAGGCTCCGGTGGTTCGAAGGGTGGATAACACTATCCACTGGATAAAACTCTATCCAGTGGATAATGTCATACCTTTTGTTTTGCCATCACTTATCCGCTGGATGACAATTTATCCATTGGATGGCATTATCCGACCTTATGGTAATACAGGTGGGCCCAGAAAAGTAGCTCAGCACGTGCATTATAACACTTTTTACATTCCCTAGCCTTCCTCTTAAAAACAACAACGCGAAACCACCAAAATCTGTGTGAACCAAGAGCGGAAATTCCGACGGCAAATTTCCATTTGGAACTCAATGCTGCTCACATACGTTATGCTGAAGTTGAGGTGTGGCGCCATAAGAGACCGTAAACACATCCAGTGATTTGCGTAGTTCTAACCAAAAATATAAAATTCATTTTAAATCGATATCTTCCTTGACGTTTATGTCCTTCGTGCTCAAGGTCCCCCTTAATTCATGGAGTGCTACGAGGCAACTGCGAAACCTTAGCGTAAAATAAAACAATACTAGGCCTTGATTTTAGCTTAAGGGATTGAAAAAAAATATTGTTATGAAAATCGTTACCTACCTTTCCACCATTATCCATCTGTAGGTAACCTTCCATCTGAGGAGATGAACGAGCAGGCTTTAATTAAGCAAAGGTGCTGGGAGGGGGGGAAGAGGAGGGGATCTAGAAAGCTAAGGTTGGCTTTTGGGCAATGCAGTTACCTTTTCAAGAAAATGTTTCCTACCAACGAATGCCTCTGTTCTTTTCTCTGCCATGGTCGCGTGGTTAAGAACTTCGAGATACAAAGGGTCATCAATCACCTTATGTTTAGCCACAGCTGTAAGAGAAGAGTTGTACAGCGGGATTAACTCAATTACACAGTTATAAAAATTAGACAATGCAAAATACCGTACGCTTCATACGAGCATGTGTGAGTGATCAAGACAGTGAGTTGCTTGATGCTAGACTGTAATTATAAACGTTTTCAATTATTCACCTTCCTGGATGCCATCGACCATTAACTGACAGAACTTGTCGCAGAAACTCTTTACTTCTTCTTTGTTCTTTTTCACGTCTATATGACCATCTTTCGTAACGTGTAAAGTTAAGCTGTATCTGTAAAACGAAGCACTAATGTTTTAACATCTCCACTGTTACCTTTCTTTCTATTATTACTACTACTATTCTACTATTACTAGTTTGGCACTGATGTGTAATCCCGTGAATACCGCTGACCTGTACAGTACATTAAATTTCAGTACACGAGAAGATCTCTTCAAGTGTGTTTTACATGTAGTTATCATCGCAACCATAGGTCTCGGCACTCCATGGTTATTTGGGGGTCTATCATTTTTAAAAAACACTTTATCTATGAAGGATCAAAAGAAAAATTGGCTCATTAAACTTGGCATGGAAACATATACGTAGGAAGACGTTTCTCGGACATCCCCATCACTATGGTCATAGACTAACAACTCATTTTTCTCACCTGCAGATGTTGGCACTTGGCATAAATTCTTGACAGCTATCTCTAAGCCTCTGTAGCGAACATTTTGCATCATTTCGATTTGTGGAGTGCGATTGAAGTCCGCATTCCTCTACGTCTACATAGCGATTGACGAAACCATTGTTGTTTGGATCAATTTCGTCTAATCCATTGAGGGACCGTAAAAAAAGGAACATGTAATTGGGATCCATGTCTTCTCCTCTAATCCCAGTCATAATTTCTTCCTCTGTCACTGATATTTTAAAATCTTCCTCTGTCATGTTGCAAAGGGGAAAAGCTGTAACGTCTATCTGACTCGCAGCCTTTTTCAAAGCTTCTCTCATAGTTACCAGATTCTGCCACCACTGATTTCTTTCTTGTCTTGCCTTCGTCATCGTATCTACCCCAGCGGAATTCTTGTAAGCGTGTGGGTAATACGTCGACACAGGAAGTAGAATATAAGCCGCAGGGAAACTGTTCTCATCCAGTTTGTACCATTTTTCCAACAGTTCAGATGCGCTTTTGCTGCCTGGCTGACTCTTGACGCTGCTCAAAAGCATCTGAAACACTTCCTTATCAATCTTGTTTGGGATTGGTCTGTAGCCATACTTGTCACCAATAATACAAACCATGTACGGTCCTATCGACTCCTTCCTAGAATTTATCACGAACAGCACATCAGAATTAATAGACAACTATACACAATACGAGAAAGCAGAGCCAAAATTTATACGCATGTACAGCAGAAAAGACGCCAATTCTTGATAGAGAGAGCATATGCGCAAATCTCACCAACCTCAAACAGTCCATTTAAGGTATACGTTTACACCGTTGCAACGCTTCCGTTAAATTCTCTACTTTCTTTATATTTTTTTTTCATTTCCATAACCACCATCTACTTTACCCTCGGATCCTTAGGTATGGAGCTCCGCTAACGGAAATTCTCCCATGCAGTTGAGCGTGATAGTAACAGAGAGACCACAGAATTTTCGTTTTACTGTTGCGTGTATTTGACGGACTGGGTTATTAACAATGACCTAAAGCTACCATCTGCTTTTCCAGTTTTTTGTTTGTAACCCGTAACGTCTTGGTATGTGCAAAATACCGCCAGTATTACAAGCTGCATCTGACAGACCCTTTTCTCCCAAGATAAGAAAAAACTACGTCATGAAAAATCTGAAGACTCGAACAAGAAAACCGACAGTGAAATTAAACGTATAAAGGAAAAAAGGCTTAGTCCAATCACTGTAAATAGATCAAGCAGCGTTTCAAGCTTTACATGTTATTTCAGTGCACTGGAAAATTAGCAAGTCTGTAAGAAATGGCCTTCAATTAATTCACCTTGAAGATACCCCCGCTATTTTAAGGACTTTTCAAGCGGACAGGATTGATTTTCTTTTTAGCTTTCTTAAATTTGTGGAGAAACCAAAGACTTGTAACGAGAGACGCTTTTATCTTCTCCTGCTTAGAAACATCGCCGAGATCAGGCCAAAATTGACCAGGATTCTCAATGAAACACGCTGTTTATCAAATGAATAAAAGAGACCAATTTTTAAAGAAACCGTGGTTCTGCGTCGGTAGGGGGTATAATGAGATAATCTGGTTTCATCAACTGAGTTGATAATATAATTGACCATTGTAGAGAATTTCTAAAGCTAAACTCTTAATTTATTACTGAATGCTTTTGAGATGGCCAAATAGATTATCAACTCAAATGACAAAATCGAGTTACATTGTTCATCAGTTGTTTTCTGATAGGTATAGCTTAATTTTCTAAGATTTAATCTTATTTGGATATAATCCTTGTTTAGTTTACAAACTAATCTTTCCCTTATCGAAAAGAATAAACAAAAGAGAAAAGCGCTTACAGACACATCTCATTGTTTATCTTGTTGTATCCAAGCAACGTTTCTTTCAGAATCTTCGACAATTGTTAAGCACTCGTATTGCAAAATTAAAATGATTCTACTTGATCATCTATCAAATTGATAGTGAAAATTAATTAAGAGTTTCAAACCTGCATCGCTGAACTTCTGTCACACAAATTTCAACCGCCTGATGCTCGTCTGTCATTTCGTCACGCACTCCCCACCGCATGTCAGCTACACTAAAATTATAGCCAAGCCGTCGACAAAATTCTCGCAAATATGGATACACGTCTTCCATGAGTAAATCTCTTTCCGTACTCATGTCCGTGAAAGTTGAGCTCAAAAATATAGCGATCTCCTTTGATGGAAGACTCCATCTTGAATCTGGTTTGATTTTTCCTTGAAGCAGGTTGTTGAAATACTCCACCAACTCTTCGTCTTCGTTTTGAAGTAACTCCTTCCGTTTGCGGTAAACAACCGATGGAGCTTTGCGGAGAATGATTCTCCATGGCTCTCTCTCGGAGCGGTCGTCTTCCCAAAGCTGCAAAGCCTGACGGAATTTTTGGTTTGCAAGTACTACTTGTCGTAGAGTAGTGGCTTTTGTATTTCCATTTCCCATCTTCAAGAAGACCGTCTCTGCCAACCACACACTAACCACCGGTGTCGCGAAAATCTCTTATATTGATCAAAATTTGAAAGGCCTAATTTAGGTCACAGTAACTTGTTAGTAAAATCTTGATGACCTATAAACGAAACTAGATCACCTAAACAGGAAGCCTTTCCGAGTAAGACTTGCCACCGTCGCTGATTTTGGTCTTTCAACTTCGCTCAGAGAACCAAAGTTTGAAGTCAAATTTTGGATAGTACTTACAATAAATCCTTCAAGTGACGAAATTTGGGAATAAATGGCTGTCCTCGAGATCCCTGTCAGAGAAGTTCTGATCATAAGTTCACAACATGCGGTATTGTTTATAAATTATCATGATTTAATATTCAGAACTCGAGCGTAATCAATTCCGTGCATTCTTTTGTTAATGACCTCCAGTGGGCAAGGCTATTGTTACGTTTGACAACATTTTCGCCTTCATCCGATTCATATGCAAACTTTTAATTGGACTTTTTACCTCTTAAGGCATATAATACTCAAAAGTCTATCAAAACAAACAAACTTGTGGAAGAACATATCCTATTCTTGATTGACAAGGCCTTTAAACCGAAAGTGGAAAGAAACGTCGGCCTAAACAATAGTAATCTACCAGTCAGACATTTGAATTCAAATCTGTTGACACGGCAATTAATAAATCGGGTTTTGGACCTAATTACTTTGCATTTTATAATCTGTTGCGCACCAATCGATTTAATCATGTTCGTAGTTTGTAAACAAGGATCGCGACTCGGTAAGTGCTTTTGCATTTTTTTTTCGTATTCGGGTAGAGTCTGGGTGCATATTTAGTGCGAAATGAATAAAGGAATATCCTTTAATTTAGCAGTCGAAGATTAATTGTTTGAAGATTATCTCAAGAAGCTTACACCCACAGGCAAGTGCACTACGTAGTCAAAAATATTTACTAGTGCTTACCTATTCTAAGGAATTGCACAAAAAATGATTTAATGACTCGCAAGGGTATGGGTTACCCGTTGGGAACATGGTGTTTATTTCAACTTTCTGAACTCAATTTCAGCTTTCTCTAGTCGTTGATTAATCTATGTACTTTAAGAAAATTGGCATGTTGGAAATTCTAACTAAGGCCAAAAAAACAAACAAACAAACAAAATTATGAGCGCATTGTCGGGTTGGTGGGGGCCTCGCCAAGATCCCAGAACCAAATTAGATCTAACCGTTAAATACATTTATTGGCATTAAGAATTATGATTACATCAACTTAAATAACAGTACATGTTTAATTAATATATGTTGGATCTATACTTCGAATTCAATAAATACAGTTTGTATATATTATGACTTTGTGTCCATGCAGTCTAAGATAGATTTACCACGTTAAATATGATTTTTGGTCTATGTATACTACATCTCTCTAATTGGTTAAGTTATTAAAGAAATGCGCTCGCTACGATTGGTTGGATACTGTGTGCTATCTTGCGCTAATCATCACGGGCGAGGTTAGTTACCGCAGAACTAACGCGCAAAGTGCATGCCAGGCGATTTCTTGGTGTCTTTGAAAAAAGGAATCCAGAAAATTGAAAGGAAAAAATGCTGAAGCTCTAGTAGTCACCGAGGACGGTTTACGGTCAACTCAGGAAGCTAAACACAACGTCTGATCAGTGGTGGCAAGTTTAGTAGTGGTGAGTTTGATATAATGGCGGGTTGATCGGATACCCTGGAGACTAATCTAAAACAAAATCTTTTCACGACATTCAATCAAATTGCACTATGAAAAGCTTTAGCAGAGCGCGTTTTCGAGAGAAAAAAAATCAGCTGCGTTCATTTACCACGCCACCCAAACAAACACATACTTTAAAGGGAAGAAAAAGAAAAACGCGGAAACTCGAGCAAGAGTCGAAATCACGGCGTTAAGTCTTGATTATAGCTAAAATAAGAACTTGAGAAACCGAGAATCCTTATCAATGGCGATTCTAACCGATCAAGGCGTTTCGAACTAAACATATCATACTTGTTACAGGTTCACTTCTGGTTCCAAGGCTACATTGAAAGTCACTCTTTAGACCGTGTCATCCGTCAGCACCACTCTCTTAATCTTCGTGTTTCCTTTTAGTTTTCTTCGGATGTCGAGAACGACTCTTTGCTTTACATAGCGGGCAGATGGGCGCATTCCTATGAATCTGTTGATGGCAAGACAGGCACGCCTTCATTGGGGGTGGCTGCTGCTGGCGGAAGTGTCTTTCTCCTGGAGGACCCCGCTTGTTGACGAGCTGCTGGGCAGCTGCTGCTGCGGCAGCTAGCTGGGATGCCACAGGGGGAGGAGGAGGTTCCTGTGGTTCTGGCTTCCAACCAGGAGGGGCACGCTCGAGAAACCTGAAGAATGAAAGAAGGCAACCACATTTTTTTTCTTTTTTCAATTTTTTCCCAAATTGAATTAGCTCAAGAAAGACCCACTATTTCAGCTAAGAATTCGTCAGACACTTTCACGTTTATTGTAATCCCAGGCTCCGTGTTAAACGGTAATGACATCAGTCTGATTATCACTAATAAATCACAAATATGAACATGATCATAGTTATTTTTTCTCGTCATAAAATAAGCTCTAAGCACTGCCACTCATTAACTGTAGCATAATGCACGATTTTAATTCTCAAACCATACCAAACAAGCGTACATAAAACCCTCGCTAATTTGATGTCTGGGGATATTACATGCTTCACGCCTGTTACTTTTTGAAGCCGTGTTACAATTCACGTAGCCAAAGTAACCAAGTTGGGAGTAATGTTATTTTGCCCATTGTTTCTCTCAGTGTCTATACCACCGCTGACCCTTTCCCATCAATACATTCGTTTGAAAGGCTACACCTTGAACTGCCCTTGGCCTATCCACAACCCTTACCAGTTGTGAAACTGTCAATTTTTGCATACAATACATGTACGTGAACAATGTGCGGTTTTGTTGGCTTAGCAAAAATGTTAAGCTTGTGATGGCTAGCGCAGCATCACTAGCTAACAGTGGTGTATAAAAAACTTTCATTCTATGTACAAAGTATTTTGAGTAGATTCTACTATTACTAACCCTTTACATCCTAATATCAGTATGCATTCTCTCCATACTCTTCTCTTAACAGTTCCAAAGAAGCTGACAAGGAGAATTTGTTCAACAATCAAGAACCTCCTTAGTTGCCAATAATTTTGTTTATTCCCATGACCTTAATGCATGATTTAGGGGTGACATTGTAAGGAGAAATTACATGTAGTCTGCTAGTCACTCTTAGGGATCATATGTTTAAAACTGCTAATAAGCTTATCTTCAACTAAATGACAACCCACTTACTCTGCAAGGCTGTTTTCTTCATCCAGGTTAGCTATTTTGTCAAGACCCAAAGAACCCCTCATTTTGTCAACCTCTCTCTTAAGGGGTTTGTATTCGTCATGTAGTCTTCTCAGAGTGTCAAGCCCTCTTTCTCTTTCAGCTTCAGACTGCTTGATGGTATTCTCCATCTACAAGATAGGAGTAGAAACTAAGATAAAATGTTCCCCAAATTCATTTCTAGACAAGCTTAGTAAAACATCACTCCAAGAAAGGCATAGTTTCCATCCTTAATTAGCTAACTATTTAAAAAAAAAAAAACAAGTTAAAAAAAAAAAAAAAAAAAAAAAAAAAAAAAAGAGGCCAGTATTTTGTAAGTCTCAAAACAACAAGCTGAAAACACAAGACCTAACAGAAAATAAGTAGAGACAAGAAATCTTCATTTGTAGACATTTATATACCAGAAAGTTACATAAATTAATATTTTGCAAAAAAAATAAATAAAACAAAAAATAACAAACACGATCAAAACCAGATTTGCCAAAAAATTCTAAACATTTTTCACATAACTGAGGCACCTAGACACAACATAATGACAATGAATCAATGACCCAATAACACCATTTTGTATACTGAAAGAGTTTGCATTTCAGGTTAGTTGGAAATTATCCTAAAAAACCCAACATACAGTACTTCATACTAATTATGAATATGTGAGAATCATATATGTGAACTGTGAATTTGAAGAATTGAAAATGAAACTAATCTTGTACATGCAAGATTTGAACCCATGACCTCTGAGATACTGGTGCAGTGCTCTACCAACTGAGCTAACAATCCAACTGAGAGCTGGTCATCATGTTGGTTTGTAATAAACCCATGAGGAGATGAATAAATGACTGTGAAAGGAGAAGGAAAGAAGAAGAAGAAGAAAAAAAAGAGAAAAGTCTGTTACTATGAACAAAAAAAGGGAGGCAAAGGAAAGTTACATGACAAGATCTTGCACATTTACAATGAGGAGCTTAGCCTGTGTGGGTAATGGCCTGTGTATCATATAAGTGATTTAACAAGGGACAAGTGTTTCTAGTGAATTTCCCTGACACGGGCATGGTAGAGTAGGCATTCTTGCCACATTCTAAAGAGATTGGTTTGTAATTCATCAATGAGTCTCTTGCAGAATGCAGAATAAATAACAGAAATCTATCCATATGGCATGTTCCACAGATCTTTTAACTTACCAAATTGATGTCAGCATGGATAAGTCTAAGTTCTTCTACATGCGCCATTTTCTCATGTAGGAGAGCTTCCATTTCTCCCTTATAGTCCTTAAGCAGTTTACTTTCCTTCTCTGCTACATCTAACTCATGAATAAGCTGAGATTTTAGTTTTTCCAACTGGGATGTCTTCACCCTGCAATCAAGATTTGATAGAACAGTTTTTCAAACACAAAGAAATGATCCATGCAGGTTGACACAATTTTAGCTATTGCAGAAAAAAACCCTGAAAATTAATGGCTTTCACAAGATTCCAACCCATGCCTCCCAGATACTACTTTGGTGCTATGGTCAACTGAGTTATGAAGCCACATGGTAAGTGAAGCCAATTTTAAAACACTGTTTTTCTTGTATTGTTTTATTTACTCCAGCCTTTAATTGCAGGCATGGAAGAGGAAAGCCTAGAGTAAATTCTAGGTATTTGCCTTATTGCACATCTGTACATGTATGGTATTTCCTTTTCTGGATTCATGGTCATCAATACACAACCAACTAGATAGAGGGTATTTTCTAAGAATTTCAAAACAGAGGTTTCATTACAAAAGGGGTGCTAACAGATAACATAAAATATTGATTATTCACTGGTACAATTGTTGTCAATAAAAAAACCTTCATGATGAGAAAGAATCTGATTTAATTTTCACAGAAATCAAGCATGTTTTTTGCAACACAGTGTCTGGTGAAAAGGCAAGTTCAAATTATATGTACTCAACCTAAGATTCAGAGAGCTTTTGTGTACAAATTTGAGTAATATATAAACACAACAAAGAAACCTCATCATGATAACAGATGCCATTTCTCCAACCAACAAATATCCTAACAAACATTGAAATCCTTCCTACTGTACTTGATAAATTTAACACATGAGTGTATGGAAAACTTTACAGGTTTATCTGGCATTCATATAAACTGTCCAAAAACATCGGAAAATATGAAAAGATAGCAGTCTAAAATCCTTGATCACAAGGTTTGGCTGTATTTCAAATTTTTATGGTTTTACTGTTAATATTTTAAATGAAAAATGTGACGCTAAAAAGCTGCACTAACCTCACAAGAATAAGAGAGATTTTAATGGTACTCATAACTCAAACTTGTGATCCATTTGAAATAAAAATGAAAAAAAAGATCGATCTGCCTGATGGCCATTGCTTGGCTGCATTTGAGTATGGCATCAGGAACAGAGGAATATGTATTTTGCCAGAAACAAAGAAATATGACTCTTAAACAAAAAAAAATTAAGCGATCATATTTCTTTGTCCTTAAAGCACAAAAGAAGGAAGGGAGGATTCACGCTCATTGATTGCCTCGTAAAAGGCCAGTGGCCCTTTGAAAAGATAAAAAAAAGGTTGATAGTTTTGGAAACTCTTCAGTAGGATTTCGAGGTGGAAGATAGATTGCCCATTCCAAAATGATGGATTTATTTCATTTATGATCAACAGCTGAAACGTTTCACCCGAACAATAGCGTCAAAATGCAATAATGCTTTTTCGGTGCAGCAAAATTATTATTTTTGAGAAATATCTCGCTGTTGCGTGCACCCGATTTCCAAAACTATACAACAAATATTTGAAAGCAAATGGTGACGAAAACGTTTATTAAATTAAGCCCAGGATGTTTAAAACTCATGCTGGTACAATTTAGGGCGTTTAACACATTTAACAAAACGAAACTATCGATGGTTTCAATTGAAGAGTCATTTGATGAATGCTACGCAAGGAAATTTCAAACCTTTCTAAAATTGTCACAGAGAAGTACAGATCGAGGAAAAAAATTGCAGACATCGACTTTAAAAAGAGATGATTCGTTACCTTATATCTCTAATGGTCTCTAGTTTTCTCATATAGTCATCATCTTCACCATCTCTGACAGGACTTGAAGCCATGATGTTCTTTTCAAGAAAATGTAAATGCCAAGATGGCGGAGAAGTTGCTCATATACAGAATTATTGTTATTCACGTTTCTAATTGGTCGATGCTCATTAGAATAGCCAATCAGCTGCGCCGCTTTTAATTAGAGCAGTAAGAAATTTCAGCTGTCTTCTTTCTTCGAATTTTATTTCCGTTTCAAACAATTTTTTTCCTGAAAATCTGATGAAATCGGGTTAAAAAAAAAAATTTGTAAGTTAATGAAAATGAACGACATCAAGAATGACGTTATTAACCTATATGTAAAAAGATTGAATTTCCAGCCAGGTTCTCGAAAAGGGCAATTTTTAGATGATTTTTCCGTTAAGAGGGGAGGATTAAAAGTCCTATTTTTGCAATATTATGAAATATATGAAAAATTAAAAGGTAAAAGGAAAAGCAAAACAAAAAGAAAACAAAATCAATTGGTACAAGAAAAAATAAAAAAAGAGCTCTCCGTCGCCCGATAGGGGACTTGAACCCCTGACCCTCAGATTAAAAGTCTGATGCTCTACCGACTGAGCTAACCGGGCTCCCGTAATATTACAAGAAATTTTTTATATAATTATTTCTATAATTTTCTATGGAACTGTTCTTGTGTTAATTCTTTGTCAAATGGAAACTACCTGTGATCGTCTGCTCATTAGAAAGCTTATTGTTAAAAAATCTGTGGAAATTTCGCATCTGTCATCGCCACTTGAACCTACTTTATAGACGTATTTTCTGAGTGGTGAGTGCCTTTTCCACGACTTTGATGACCCTAAGCTTTAAATACGTATTTAAAGTAGGAGGAGCGAGAGATTATTTCTCTGGTCGCCGAACATAATCAAAGAAAAACTATTACGGAAGGGAGCGAGCGTGACTGGTCTCTAATAGACACTCCCCTGCCCTTCCCCCAACGCTATACTTGAACCCAGACTACGTCTACATCCCAGGGGAAGAAATCAGAATGGCTACCTTGACTTGCACGCAGATTCTGTTGGCTATCGGGATGCTTATTTCAGGATCTATAAACACACTGTCAAAGAAAGCACAAAATGACTGCACGTAGGTATCCATTTGATCGACCTTTACGAAGCTCTGCGGATACAGGCTTAAACAGATCGAGAATTAAGGAATTATCATTTTAGGATTTTTGCTGCTTTACACACGCAGAAAGTCGGAAATTCGAATTGAGTGAGTTTTCAGGAGTACTTTTTTTTCCGTTCAATCAAATTTATTAGCATATTCCTGCAAAATTCAAACCTATTTGTTTCCCAATGTCGGAAGATCACAACGATAAGATGTGACCGGTTGGAAAGTTAGACTCACTTGGTGACTGCATCGTTCCTAAAGGTTTTTGACTTCCATATACCCATATGCCTGTATGCATGTAATTTTCCTCGGTGTTCTTTACAAATTCCTATGGCACTGACAGGGAGAATTTGCTCATTAATCAATGGTGTCTATAATTTAGAGATAATTTCCTTTATTCTCATGATTGTAAATCGTGATTCTGATCAGCAGTGTTGCTGTTACGAGACTAAACATGTCCACTCCAAAGAATGAAGATGCTGAGGTCATCCTCATGATTGAAATTGTTTCATGTTCCATCCCCTGATCACCCTACTCTTTGGAAAAATTAGAAAAAAAAATACAAACAAAAATGAAAACAAAAGAATGAGCTCTAAACCTATTCTCAATTTTATTTAATTTGATTTTTCTAGAGCTAAGGGATTGGAAGACGAACACGGCGATGAAGTTCACAAATTTGACCATCCATGGTTTCAAACAGGTCTAATGTTTATTGGTAAGGCTGTAATCTAATAAAGACGATCTTAAAGATTTTTGCTTTGTTTTCAAATTCATATTTTGTTAAAAATATTTTTATTCATTTTCCTAATCCACACTTAATTGATTTAATTGCAAGGGGAAACCATGTGTCTGATTGGTTTGTGCATTCATAGAAGAAGAGAAAGACGGAAATTAACACAGGTTTGTGGAGAATGATCAAGTCACCTGTTAAATGTCCCAAATAACATCTTTATTTCTCTGTTTAAGTTTTTCCTATCTAACTTTTAATGCATTAATGAATTAAATACTCTACACCTCAGGTATGTCAAAAAGTTGGACTGACTGACTTACAAATTACTTGTAAGTGAATTACTGTCAAACTTATAGACTGATTAGCTGACTGACTGACTGATGTAGTGATTGGCTGACTCGCTGACTGGCTGACTGGTTGATACACAAAAAAACAGGGCTCCTGAAAGTTATTCATTCAGCTAGCAAGGTTCACTCTTGGTCAATTTTTATAAACCATGACGGCCAGACTATCAATAAGGTGAAGGAGGCACAGTCATACCATCATTTAAGACTTTAAAAAAAAGTGCTACGGAATTATGTACAAGTCATTCACTATGTAAAGGAGGTGTAATTAGTTTTGAGTGATTTCTTGTTTACTTTGAATTTTATTTCTCATAATTTTTTCTATTTTCTTTTGCTTTTGTTTTTTTAATTATTTTTTTGTTTTTGAAATCAGAATTTACTGAATGTCAATAGAGACCAAAGTAATGATGGATCTTGTGTAGAAATGGCTCGACAACCAAGGTAGGATACAATCAAATGATCTTTGAGTTGACTTTGCTTCATCTGTCATTGGTTTATGCTCTCAATGATGAAGTGCTTGGCTGTGAGAAACCAATTGCCAAATAATTGCTCACTGCAGAATTCTTGGTTCATTTCTTTTGTCATTTGAATGTGAAATTTGGTTTTGTCGATTCCAGAGCATGTTTGTTTCTGGCTGTTCAAAAACTACTTTGTACTTATACAAATGATTTGTGCTGATCACTCAAAACTACAGTCATGTGTCAGTATATTAATATCAACAGTACTAATATTTTACTTACAGAGTGTTCCAGTGGATTTTTGCATTTCCTACTGTTTGTGATCTGTTTGGAACCTCTTTGGGCGGTGAGTTTTAGAGCAGAACAACAAATGAAAAAGGACTCATTCAGTCAAATTGGTTAGATTTATATTGTAGGAAAAAATAGAAACATTAAATCTGATTTTTTCTTTCTGACTAGGAATTGGTCTTCTTTATGTCAATGCATCAGTGTGGCAAATGCTCAGAGGTTCAATAATAATATTCACTGGTGTGCTATCTGTGAGTATATGGTCCAGTTTACGTTTTAAACCTTGTAACCCTTTCATGTATCCTAGAAACAGAGCTTTTGACAGGGTGTGGGAAAGAATAAACATGTAGACATGTAGGGAGGTGTGGGAACCTATAGTGGTTTAAGAACGGAATAGGATGCTAATCCACAGCAGAATAACCCCCTCTCCCCCCTTCTCAAGCATCTTTTGCCAGGCTTCCATGACAGTTCTTTGGTAATTAACCATCTTTACTCCCGGATGGACTAAGAAGACTCTGAGAGAATATATCATCTTGCCCAAGAACACAACACAATGACCTTAAAGTTCTTTGGTACCCATTTACACTCTTAAGCAATCTTTTATCAGGCTTCTTTGACAGTTCTTTGGTAACCAAAGTGGACTAGGCTGACTATCTGAAAATACATCATCTTGCCCAAGAGCACAACACAATGACCTTACAGTTCTTTGGTACCATTTACACTCTTGGGTGGACTACGAAGACACTATGAGAGGACATCACCTTACTTAAGAAAACAACACAATGACCAGGCCAGGATGCTGGCCATTTGTGGTTGCTGCTTCATCTCTCATGCAAACATTACCTTTGCCTAATTTTTTTTGTAGAAAATCTTCCTCAAGAGAAAGTTGTGGCCAATTCACTGGATTGGAATGATTGTTACCATGGTGAGAGATATACCTCAATGATATTTTTAATCAAATGATAGGAACAGAGCAAATAGATAGTGTAGAAATGCTTGACTTTTGCTGAGCTTGTTCTTAGATATCCTGTAACATCACTGAAACAAAAAAGGTTTGGCTTCACCAAGGGTCCACCTATGTGCCTTTACTAGGAGTGCCTGACTTGTTCATCATTGTTGCACCTAGAAGTGAACTGGTATTGTTGCACACAAAATACTGACAAAAGTTAGTTTAGAATAAGAGGCGTAGATTTCTTTCAAACCTTGGTTACAAAATTATATGGTAGATGGTTATATGGAATCTTTGTATAAGTTGTAGGTTATTTGTTTATTTTGGAATTGGCAGCTTGGTTTAGTACTTGTTGGATTATCAAGTGTTCTAAGGGACAACCACCAAGGAGCCTCTCAGGGACAAGTTGTCTTTGGTAATAAAATGATGCACAATCTTACATTGCACAATCAACTATAGATTCATTGCACTGTACCAAAAAGTACATCTTTAAAAAAAGATCATGTTTGTTTCATCTAGCCAAAGGTTATCCTGTTTTCTTTTTTTTGTTGTTGGAGAAGCTATCAGGAGTGTTGAAGATTCCATGACAGTTGCTGTTACCATTGTGTGTTGGTTTTCAAAAATCAAATATTCTATGTTAAGTGACCAGTTGTGCACGGAGCCAGAGGGTATTTCTTAGGCATTCATTTCTCTACTTCAAGCTGGCCAGTTTAACCAAGTCTTGACTATAGATACTTTACTCACGTGGAACTATATATATATATTTATATTTATAAATTTTTTTGTTTGTTTTGTCTTTTTTTAACTAAGTTACTTTTTTTGAACAGGAATTGTTTTGATCTTGGCAGGTCAAAGTGTCAGCGCTACCCAAATGATAGTAGAAGAATTATTCCTGAAGAAAAAGAACTTCCATCCTTTGCAGGTTAACTTTGTAGGATTCACAAAAGAAAACATAAGAACGAGATATGATATTGAGCCACTACGTAAATCGTTATCCAAGTCATCAACAAATGATAACAATTGTATTCGCCTCAAAAGTATTCCTGTCTTATTTGTTGCTTAAGGGGAACGAAACGCAACTGTCGAAAGTAGGTAAACTGATTTAGGTAAACTGATTTGGTTCTAGCTACAAGTGAATGCGAGAGCAAAATTAATTTTTGATTACCAAGCACATGTTATTTCATAAATAATTTTAGTTATTGTGGAGTCAAAAAAAAGCTTTTAGAACTGCCCATTCAAGGAATGAATGGAACAATGTTTTGAATGATATGAAGTTACTGAAACATGCTAGGTACAGAAAGGTGACATGCTCTGGTGAAGTCTTCTGCCAAAACAATAATTAGTTCTTCGTTTCTGTTTGATAAAGGTGGTTGGAATGGAAGGCTTCTTTGGAGTCATTTTCATGGCTATTGTAAGTGTGACAAATTGCGTTGCTTATATCAAATTTCATTCCATATTTTTTCTCTTCTATTGTAAGCTTACCGTTTTTATTTTATTTCTGAGCATCATACTGGACTAATGTAAGTCATTGTGTAAAATGACTCTCGTTTGTTAGGCGGGGTTTACCGGGAAACTTCCTTGGGGAATGAAGTGAAACAACTATCTAAGTATTCTTTTTTAGTTTCTGTTTTTATGAAGCCCCATTACGCAACTGGAAATTAAAACTCTCTGTACGTTGGAACATATTAACAGAATGCTAAATCCTTGCGGAACAAGTCAGACCGCTTTACTTAACAAGCAATTTTTACCTCCAAAATAGCAGTATGCTCCACAAACCAATTTTTTTATTTTTTTTTATTTTTTTTATTTTTATCTTTAAGTTTGCTTGAATTAATTGTCAGTAATGATTGTGTTTGGACATTCCATCAAGTAACCTAACCTTTGTTTATGAATTGTGCTAAAAAATTCGACGTTGGAGGCCGCCATTTTGGACCTTGCTTCGCGGCCTGGTCGCTTTCCTGTGACGTAATATAGTGTCGTCGCTCTTTTCCTATGCATCTGTCGGAGCTGAAACATTATACCCACCTTTAACAAAGTCAGAGGCGTTTAGTAGTTTATTTGCCATTGTGTTCTTCTCTTGTTCTTGTTACAGATAGTCCTTCCTGTGCTGTATTATATTCCAGGAGAACAAAATCACCACAGCTATGAAAACAGCCTTGATGCACTGCTGATGATCAAGAATAATGCTAAATTGTTGATAATGTCAGGTATGAAAAGTCCTCTGTCTGAATGTAATTCTTGTGGGTACGGCATTCGTTCTGGTTTGCTCAAGTGTGAGGATATCTAAAGAACGTACTTGCCCTCTCAATCATACCTTCTAGAAACAGGCCCTTTGAGTCATTTTCAACTGAGTGTCAAAAGTAACTCAAGTTTATTTAGATTTTCCTTGAATCTGTGATTGTTTCTAGAAAACTCACGCTACCGTGCCTCTTAACCAATCAGATGCCAAAAAAAGATAATAACAATAATGATCACTATTTGAACACGCGTTTAATCACAAAGCAATGTTTCGTGTGATATTTTGCGTCACCTTGATTGGCTGTTGTGGTGACCGGTTTTTGTTTAAGACACTCAATGTGAACGCTCCAATAGTTGTCACGATACTCTGAAACTTAATGATAGCTTAGTCTTCTATCATGGGAAGGAGTTCTTATGTGATGGACAAAGTTCCCATCAAGGATCAGTAGCAAGGCTGTGTTCACTTCATACTAGAATGAAAATGTCAGGAAGTTTTGATTTAGTCTATTGTTGTTAAGTTTAAAAGATAAATCTCTTTTATAGTGGCGGTCATGTGCATGCAAATAATTGTTTGTTAGACATGTTGTCAAGTATAACATGAATATAAAAGAATAGCAATTGCGCTCGCCATTTATGAAAGAGGTATATGCATTTGACAGCTATTTCTGAATCTTGTCTTTTGCAGTCTTATACATCTGCTCTATTTCATTTTACAATTTCTTTGGACTGTCAGTCACAAAGTCTCTAACAGGTAAAAATTTTAAAATATTTCCTTATTTATAATAAACTATACAACAGTTATTCACTGAAGTGATGTATAGTGATGAATATATCCACCCCTTTCACCGACGCTGACGCGCGATTTTTCTCAGTTCGCCCGCTGCGGGAGGAGAATAGTTAATCCCTTCCGAACTAACCAATCAGCGCTCTTATAAAGCATCATTCACCTGTGTGGTACATTCCAAATGAACACACGAATAGGAAAGGAAGTTAAGCCTTAATAAAGAGAAATATCTTAATGGAGTTTCATGTGTTGAAAATTCTCACCAAAGCCCCTATTTTTGTGAACGCATTAAAACGTATTTATTTTTTTTTAGCGGTTCACAGGACATTAATAGATGCATGCAGAACTATTGTGGTCTGGCTTGTGGACCTCTTCATTCACTATGTTTTTGATGAGGTGATCAGATTACACCAAATATGAATACATTGTGACTTCTGTCTTATATTTCCAAGAACTGGGTTATACAACATGTTTTAGGCGTGAATGATGTTTGATTCATGTTGCTGTAGGTACATGTAGTTTTACATATCCCTTTTTATTCTGTGTTATTTTATATCTCCTCTACGTATTTCGTACTATAAAAGCATTTTTTCCTACATAGCCTACCCTCGACCGCTTACAGTGAAATTCAGGCAAGTCGATTTCATTTGGGAAATCTGCCAAGTGATACTGGATCGTGCAAACTATTTCCTCTCAATGAAAGACCTTACTTTAATTTCTTTTTTAGGTATCCTTTTGCCGACAAAGTTTTGTTTCAAAATTTGACTAATTTGCGTTTTATTTATTTTTTTTTTTTCTAGAGTTTTGGCGAGGCTTGGGACAAAAGATATGGTATCTTTCAAGGTGAAAATAGGGTTTCTGCTATACGACATTTTGTGCGTCTTGAGAAAGATTCAGCCTGAATGTTTCAACTTTGTCATTTGTCCGTGTAAATCTTCTCAATTCTCAACCATTCTCGCTTCATTTTTGTTTACTATTACTTTCTTGGAGTTTCTCCAGCCCCCTAACAACATAAGGTCTTATTATAAAGAAGAAACTGTTTTCTGAACCATCAAATTGCTCGAAATGTCGAAACTTTAACATGTTTGGTACTCGAAATAAAACGATGTGTTTAAGACTAATAAAGGGCTTTCTCCGATTGTTTTTGCAATACTTTGCTGCAAACTGAGGATTGTGCCAATACAACATATTGATTGTTTTTTTCTGTGAAAATGGTTCTTTTTTTTGCAGTTGATGGATTCCTCTTTTTGATGCTCGGTACAGCTCTTTATAATGAGCTATTGATTATTCCTCCATTGATGCCCAAGCCTGAGTCTCCACAGGTAACAAGAAAAGTACGATTATTTCGATTAAAGGAGTTATGGTAATACTTTGTTTCAAGGGACAATAACAAGAAGGAATCACTATCGGTTTTCTCATGAAATCCTTGTTACCTTAAGAATTTCAAAATAATTCTGAATTACTCTGTAATTAATGCGCAGGGATCGTCGATCTTAGCTCCCCGCTCGGAGAGATTTTGAGTATTCGGTTGTTAGGAGACCTTACTTTGCTTCGCTCTTTGATTGGTGCAGAAAACTCACGATATTCTCTCAACCCGTCAGATGCAAAACACAAACCAATTGCATGGTCGCCCGCGTTTTTCCGCGTGTGGGCCTTTTTGTCGTACTCTGGTACTCTTTGGTCTTTAGGGCTAAAATGGGCCTTTGTGATTACTTTGGTTTTGATTTTACGATATTCGATCGTAAAGCGCTCTATTATTCTACAGGAGGATCAAGCATCTGATGAAGAACAAGATGAAAGCCCAGAATCTGGCGAGAATGAACCATTACTGAGAAGCCGAGACCAATCAGAACCTTACACAGGGGTTATATGAAGATATAACTTTGACTTGACGAAAAGCGCACATTCCTCAATCTCTCGGACAAGGAAGCTTAGAAAACCAATTAATGTGATTTTCATCGATTTGTAATCTCATTTTCTCGGGACATGTATTATTATTTTTACTTTGCCAATTTGTCAAGAATATTCGGGGAATTTTACGATATCCAGGTATATATCACAAGAAAATCAAGCGGGGAAAACTCTATCCCTTGTCAGAGATATCCAGAGGTAATGCAGTTGTGTTAATAGATTAGCCAATTTTCCAAAGAAACGACACAAAACAGTAATGTAAACCTTAAATAAATAAATATATATTTTTTATATTGATATCTGAATCCACCAAAGAGCTCGTCGTACCTCTCTCATATTTGATTTTTTTAAGTGAAAGTTGCAATAAACTACAGGAATTCAACCCCTATAATCTTTTTGTGTTATTACGCCTTTTTTTTAAATTCTAGTCAAACCATAGCAGCTTGGATGGAAAACAACCGGCAAGTTTGATACAAAACCTGATCGGCGATCACTAATATTCTGACAATGCCCCCCTCACCCCAACCCCGGTAAGGTAGATTTTTCATTCCTCCAACAGTTATCAGAATAGGGTCCGCATTCGTTTCCATCTAGGTATTCCTAATGTTGCACAGCTTGTTCCTTTGCAAAGAAAGAAAATATCACTCCCTTTTCTTCCTTATTACAGGTTATGGAAGATTTAATTAGATTGAAAGAGTGTGAACGTTGATTCGAGTAGATTCAAAATGTGAGTGACCATTGCATTGGCCATGAAACTCTATACTCATAGCATTTGAGTATAGTACAAGATAACACTATCACAAAAGATCTTTTGTAAAGGGAGGCACTTTATCAAAAAAAACAACAACAACAAGTGAACAGATACATTGAAAAATAAGTGAAATACTTCCTTTAATGATCAACTTTTACAGTGAAATTTTGTAACAATTGTATGAATCTGGTTATGAAAAGTCAGAGATATCCAAAGGCAATGCAGTTGGGTTAACTGATCAGACAATTTTCCAAAGAAACGAAACAAAACAGTAATGTCTTGTCATGTTGGATCACACAACTTAGACATTTGTTATTTGTCACAAAAGTGAAACTGATTCCACAAGCATAACAACCAATTGGGTTGTTTCACGCTCTACCGGGCATCCCAAATAATTACAACTACTACTACAGCGTTTTGCATTAACTGTATGCGTATGTAATATGGAAATGATACTCGCACTTATGAACTCTACTTCAGTGGCAGTGAAAATAAGGCCTGAAAAAAATTCAGGACCGTACGGGATTTGAATCCATGACCTCTGCGATACCAGTGCAGCGCTTTACGGTATCGCAGAGTTCATGAGTTATCAAATCCCGTACGGGCCTGAATTTTTTTACAGGCCTTATATTCACTACCACTTAAGTAGTGTTCATAACTGCGAGGATCGCTTCCATATCTCTTTCTTAAAATTTAGCTCACATAATTATATGTTTTTTTATATATTTACAGTCATGTATGCGTATGTTTAAAACCAACAAAATATTCATGATACATGCAGTAAAAACCCTTTTTCTCCTTCGGCGCTGAAGGTATGATAATTGGCCATGATGACCTTACATGTCTCAAAATATAACCACAATATATAATTTAGCATCTTCTGAAATAATTTTCGTAGGATCGCACGCATGCTATCGTATTGGCCCATCGAAAAATCATTGTTCAAATTTTCGACCAATTCGAACCAACTAATTATTGTTACAAAATACCCTTGGTTGTGTATCATAGTGCACCCCTTCTGTCCTACTAATGATACATAAATATTGCAAGATTTTCGTTCACAATTTCATAGAAGGTGTTTTTTTTGTGAAATAAGGAGCATAAATTTATTTCAGGAAAAAAATTCAGAAAACTAGGCCCAAGACCATGAAATTTATCCTTAAATAGTTTTGGGGTAGCCTTGTGTTACTAACTTTTATTCTAGCATTTATTTTTGACGTACTTACGTGGCGCAAAATGAATTCGTTTTCCAAATACGCATTCTTTTTGTGGGTCAATATAACTACACAATGAAAAGAATTAAAACTGACCAACGGAAATTCGACTACTTCCGATAGTAGAGAACAAGCCTGCACGGGGGTTTTTATGTTTAAATACTTTTGATGCAGCGACTGACTTCGGCTCATGTAAAATGTAGCTGTTCTGAGGCTAAAATTTTTTTTCCTGTGAAAACGTAATTTCAAAAAATCCCTCACGACTATCGTTTTAAATATTTACCAACAGTTTCTCTCATCGAAAAGCTGACACCAAGATCTAAAGGCTCGACTTTACAAGATATATTTATATTCTGTTCAACTAGAGGTGAAGCTGCTAAAAAGACTAATGAGTAGGTGACAATGACAGCTGGACGCGAGCTCCACCTAAATAGATATGCTAAACGATCTAGAGCACGAAAGTTGTAAAGGATATTTATGAAGTAGTCGTAGCATGGTTTAGAAGACATGGAATTTCCAGAGATATTCGCTCGTTAATATACTTCTCAGGTTTAGTGAATCTTTCGCAAATTCACTCGTTTATCAGGAAATAATCTATGATTTTTATTATTGATTAGTATTAGGAGATATTATAACATGATTTCACCTTTGTGTCGCAATGGTAACGACTTTGCATCACATTTACCTTATTATATTCCACCAACTACAACGTAATCTGAATCAGGTACTAGGCATCATCGTTATCCCTACATGCCAAAACTATGTAGAGTATTTATCCCGAAGGCCTCAGTTTCATATGTTTTACGTTAGCCTATGGTATAGGCCAAGGGGAAATAATGATATTTTCTTTTAAATAAAAATAACCAAAATAAAGCCGTCATCAGAAATACGTATATTGTTCGACAAGGTTTCATTTGTAAACACCGATTCTTTAATGTATTGATTCTTCCACGTTTTTTTTGTTTGTTTGTTTGTTTTTTTTGTGTGTGTGTGTTATTCCTAGGAAATGACTTCTAAAGATGCCATATCGTTTATTAATAAGCTGAATTATTCTAAAGAAATATAGGATTACCATAAAAACAGAAGAAATTAGTCCAATTTACCTTAATTTTTTGCTTTTTGTGCCTGAAACTTCAAAACAAACAGGTCAAGGGGGTTAAAAGAAACCATGATAATCCCAACGGGTCTCAGAGCTGTGTTGTGAAATACAAACAGGAAAATGAAACTACTTCAGCTTAAAATATCTTGAGTGAATAGCAAGGGCGCGGATATCAATAAAAAAATTTAAAGAATAGAGAATCTCATCTTGGCACCCCATAAAGTTCATTTTATTGCTTAAGCTGATAGTTTTGTTGTATAATTTTAAAAGCTTTTGAGTGAAAAAATACAGAACAGCTTTATGGGCCGTTAAGGGTAGTTGCGCAAAACCGGTCCCTAATGTAGTACTTATCGAAAAACGTAAACAGGTGTTTCAATAGAGAGACTACAATTAGCTTATTATATTTTGGCATGGATAAATATCTCATTTTTAGTTGGCAACCTGCGTTAGTGCTTCACACCTCAGAAGAAGACTCATTAGAGTCAGCTTAGGAAATAACGGACATTGTTAACCAGGTACGCACATCCATTTTCCGAACCTCACTTTAAGAATTGCCGTTTTAGAAAAAGCGAAAACAAACTGTGTTAGAAAAAGGAACATAAGTAACATAAAAGCGCGCGCCTTAATAGTGGTAATTGACTGAACGGAGTCAGTTAAAGAAACAACGTGTACTTTTAACCGGGTAGGTCTATTACGTTTCCGCGGTTTGTCATTTTTTTTTTTTCAAATGAAAACTAAAAGTAGTATTTTCCCGTCACCGAAATTGTAAACGATGAAATTGAGCAAATGACTAAAGTGATGAACACGGTGATTTAAAAAAGGACAAAATGAACCATTAAATAACTGTGTATTACAAGGATATTCTTTCATCGAGGGAAAGATTATTTGATTCATAATTTTTCCTTAAATTCTTCTACAAACAGTCAAAAATTTATTTTTCACAGAATTCCCCGTCTTTCCCGCAAACCGATCGCCAGCAAGAAAGACTGCAAACGCAGAGGGTGGAGGGGTGGGTTTTAAAGTGAAAAAAGATCGGTTTTGTTCGACTACTCAGGTGGGAATTTTCTCCAAAAAAAGTATTGGACAGGTTGATAATCATTATTATAATTGGTTTTTTGCGAAATTTCGAAGCTGTAAGTCTGTCCTGGCTTAATGTTGTGCAAGATAATCTCTCACAAGTTTACTATGTAGGTTTTCACTTAGATATTTGTTTGTTGGCATTATTATCATTTGGACTTGATCAGCCCTGCCATTCTCCTTTTAGTTTTTCAAACACTCCTCCCAATTAAATCAAACATTTTTTGCATGAAAACACTCGCCTTCTTCTTCGCAGGTATCACTTATCCGATGCGCTTCATATGGCTGGTCGACAGGCTTCATATTTTACCGCGCTGTTTTTCATTTCTCTTGTGTTCCGTGACATTGCCAGTCAGCAATGTCACGGAATATACTCGATTTATCAAATGATGCTTAAGGGCCATACCTATAAGACGTTCAAGACTACACCAGGCACTCTGGAATGCATAGAGGCTTGTCTCGCTGATGACAGATGTCAAAGCTTTAATTTCGTCATGTTCCTTGCAATATGTGAGTTAAACAACCGGACTAAAGAAGCCAGACCAGAGGACTTTGTCAAGGACGAGAAGAGATATTATATGGCAAAAGGTCTACAAAGAGGTGATAGAACTTGCAAATATAGAATAGTAGGGTGTAGTTACGTTTAAGGATATTGCGTTATCAGCTACTGGTTTTTCTAACTTTTATCCAGCTAAACTAATATTTTAATTTCAGTTCCCCTAGGATCAATCCGTGAGCTGCCTGCTGAATCTTGCGAGGAGATCGAGGCGAGTGAAGGAAGACAGGTAGTTAACGGTAATTATTGGCTGGATTCTACAAGATCTGGGAACTCTATTTTTGCTCGTTGCGACATGAAGACAAAAGGTTAGTACAAGAAATATTCCATGGATATTTGCCTTCGTGCTAATGAAAGGCATTCTTTTAATCAGCCTTATTTACAACTAGTTGTAGACTATTGTGTCAAGAACCTATGTCAAAACGATGCAAAGTGTGTGAACCGTGAAACCAACTACTCATGCGCGTGTAACTCATCTGGTTGGACAGGAAAATATTGTGAAAAAGGTTTTCTTTTGCTGAAAAGTTTCTGAGGGGATCGGCCACGATCTCCTCGTCATCACAAAGATCATCGCTAATTAAGAAGTTTGGTTTTTGAGCGTTCAAAATAAAATCTTGGAAGTTTGTATATTACACAGCGTTTTCGAGCTCACAAAGCTCAACCTTGAGTTTGAAATTGCCTAAATTCTGCAAATACTTATAGCTTCGTCATTTCAAATCGTTACGAACTAAAATATGGTCACGTAGTTCGCGCGTAACAAGGGTGGATTTCATTGAAGTAAGTCCTACAATTAGCTCCACAAGGTTAATTTTTTGAGTTACCGGCACAGCAATGCCTAAATTTGTGAAGTTAGGAACGGGGTGGATACATCATACACAAATTGGAGATTGACCATTGTGTTTGGTGGATAAATTAATTGGAAATTAATCAAGTCACGGCACTTTTTTTGTTAGTCGAACGTTAGGTCAAAGAGCTACCTGGCTATGGTTTTTACGGGGGGAGAGTATACTTTTGACGAAAAATACAACAGTGTCATATAATCGGATTTTTGGCATCAATCATCTCTCAATGGATCACCCATGATTTCCTCGTGATCACAAAGATCATCATTAATTTGGAAGATTGGTTTCCGACCGTTTTTCTATCCCCCAAACTCAACCTTGATTTTGAAAAAATGCCGAAATAAACCAACTATAAATAATTTCGTCAGAACTGAAATTTCCACGAATTTTGTGTAAACTCTTTTCCATGGTAAAAGATGTGTCCACAGACATACAATTGGCCACAGATAATTCGAATGGCAAATTTTTGATATATCGATACATCAGTGTCTTACATTTGTGAATTTATGAAATGGGTGGACGTACAATTCGACAAGAGGCGATTGTTGTGCTTGCTTGGTAAACGAATCAAAAGGAGGCGAAAAATGAAAGGGAAAACGGCCCTTTTGCCTCCCAACGTGGAGTTTGTAAACTATATTTTTCAACCATCGCAGTTTGATCCGCGCTAAAAGTCCACACTACTAGCACTAGTACTACTAGCACTAGCACTAGCACTACTAGCAAAGAAATAAATTTAGGTAAATATAAGCCTTACTTTTTGATTCATTTTACTTTTACCTAGAATGTGGGCCTGTTGGTGTAACAGATAGAAATGCAATCTCAGATGCCAGAATGACAGCAAGCACAGTCTATGATACAAGATTTTATCCGTACTATGGCCGACTCCATGAAAACAGGGGATATGGAGGATGGTGTCCCAGGACTGTATCTGACAGAAAAGACTATCTTCAAGTCGATATGGATACAATGCTGTCTGTTTGTGCTGTGGCCACCCAAGGCGAAAGGATAAACAATGAATGGACTACCAGCTACAAACTGCAACTATCCACAGACGGTGTAACCTGGAGCGTTTACGAGGAAACCAGCACCGCAAAGGTTTGATCGGCAACTATTAATAATGATTACAGGACCACAAAGAGTCCAATTCAGTGGATTACAAAAGCGACTTTCAAAATTCCACCACTGCGAGCAGGAGTGTGATTTGTTGCTATTCACAAGTATGATTACTGACCGAACGGTGAGGCAGAAAGTCTTGTGATTAATCTGCCAGAACCATTGTCAAGTTGAAGAAACAAAATAGCCATCAGAGAATGCATTCATAAATAATAGTTTACCTCTATTTAAAAAACTAGATGACGCAATAGTCTGCTGGTAACTATCACGATTTGACTATCTTTGCCAATATGTTGAATGAAGCCAAATAGACTGCAATTGCCAATAGTATGCTCTCTATCTGTGATAATCTGAGGAGTTACGTTAAAAGAGTGAAGTAGCGAAGTGGTTTCATTCCAGAGTTTTGAGCAGCTCTTAAGCTTGTATTTCTTTCACTACTGAGATTTTTGAATTATCTTAAGTTTTTTTTTTTTTTTTTGCGACAAGATTTAAGAGAAAGGTTACAATTCTAACTGTAACTGCTGGCCAACATTGATGTAATTTAGATCGTCCTCCACACTTCAACCTTTCCATAAAACATTTCCCTTTAAATGTGTTGCCGAATTATATTATTTTCTCGCTATGATGTTTGCATTTTTTCCTCTTCCAGGTTTTCCCAGGAAACTCAGACCGACACAGCGTTGTAAAGCATTTCCTCACCACTGACGTCATGGCCAGATACGTTCGGTTTTATCCTGACACCTACCACAATTTTCCTTGTTTGAGAGTTGAAATATTTGTGCGAAAATGATGACATTTAAAAATGTTCTTTCTTTTATGCACAAATTAAAGGTAGATAAAAAATACTATACAATGGGAACTTTCGATGCTCAAGCCAAGTCTATCTTTATTTAGTGTGAATTGTGGAAAAATCTGATCACCAACAGAGTATGCCAGACACAAAGCCTTGTTTTCCATTTAAACTAAAATACAAGATAAGGGTCATCACTTACTATAAGAAATAAAATCTCTAGACGTAGTAACTTCAGAAAAAGCGGATCGCCACCTCACGACTGCATATTGATAATCTTCCTCAGGCGAAGAGACGAACTATTACACTTAATAGAAAGAGTGTATAAACCACGATTACAAACCATAACCATCTTAACGACATTTACAGGCACATGAGATGAGGTCTAGCAAGGACCAAAGATCTGATTTACTTCATTTCCTTAAAAAAATTACTGATGCACGTGTGCTTTTCTATCACGAAATATTTGCAAGTGTGAAGATTTGTCTTCTGATCATCGTCTAGAATTTTAAGTCATAGCTATATATACAAGTAGAATGTTTACAGAAAATATAAAATAATAGAGACATGTTGGTCACCCTTCGTTACATGTAGGTGATGTGAGGTATAGCCTGCTCTTCGAAAGTTCATTTGTTTTCGATGTGTTTTTTGTAGAACTATTGAATTTACCCTCATACATGATTGTCAATCTAATGCCAATAAAAAACCTTTTGGAGGTACAGCTGTATACAGCCGAATCCAAATCATTTCTGGTCATATTTGTTGTTTCGTAAAGAATGGGCTATTGATGTATTGTTTTGGTAGAGAAACTTTTTATCTTCTCAAAGAACTTGGCTTTGTCAATCAATACATTAACTATACAAAGTAAGCAATTTTCATTTAGCCTGTATTCCTGTCTCTGAGCTCCTCCGTCGTAGCTAAACAAATTATTAGCAATCATATCAAAGTATCATAGTTTATCTTCTATTAAGATCATTCCCTAGAATAACTTTGCAGCATGAAGCCTGAGCTATAAATCATACAAGCTAAATTTAAAAATAACAATCGAACTACCCCTAACATCTGACGTAATAGAAAGAGGCGATTTTAGATTAATGAAATCGAAGAAAGGAAGTGTCTTTTTTTATCCTGATGTCTCATTTCAAATAATACTTGAGTATAGTATAAGATACTCTGATCACACAAGTCCTTACATAAAGGGAAGCACTTTATCAAAAACTTGAATGAAAGCCAACTTTTAACTAATAGTCTATTAATTCTGGTACACTAAAGAAAGAAAGAAAAAGAGGGAAAAAAGAAAGAAAGAAGGGAATTTTAACTAACAATGTCGCGTATTGTACGTTGTTTTCTTTCTTCCCCCTTTTTTTTTTTCCCGAGCACACTTCGCGTTGCAATTTAATTAAATAAGAAAACCCCTTTTGCACGGATTTGAGAATGAGTCTCAAGTTGGATTACACAAGTTGTAATGTAAGGTAACGTTAAGTTAGATGATAGTCATCTCCTCGTGCATTGCATTCTTTCTTTCCCTTTTGTTTTCGGCATTTAAAAGAAATCTAATGATTTTCTTGGTCTTCAAGACCATGCCAAGACCTTCGGGCTAGGGTCACTTCACCTCCAACTCTACCAAGTGGTGAAACTCAGCTTAGCCTTCCTTTTTGGCTCTGATAGTGAATGCGAGCGAGCAAAAGTGTTTTAGAACGTCGCCGGAAGTTGACTTTAACTTTCTGAATTAACTGAAATTAGATTTTATCATTTCTGTTAAGAGCAACGAAAAAAAGTTGATGCTTGCCGTAAAATGGCCAAAATTTTAACCATGAACCATAAAAGCAATCACCCAACTGAGACCCACTCAAAGTGGCAGGTGTTTTAAGATGTGCAAGAACAGGAAGACATTTGGCTCAGGTCCCGCGAAGTCATATTCCGCGAGCCAATACTATCTTCATTTCGCGTAAGAACCGAGATGACAGACGGCTGACAATTTCTAGGCTCCTAAGTTTCTTTAGTTAATGTGTGAGTGATGGCTCTCATACATTTTCATGACGAGCTGGGAAAGGGAAGCCAATTGTAAGATATAGCGAAAGAATTAGAACACCGCCTTAACTTAACAGAAATCTGATCTATTTCCTCGTCACGAAGTTCGAGGTAGAATCTTTGACCTGAAACTCTACCGGCTTGTGCTCACAAATACCACCTCTTGGAACTACCGCCAGTTTAAATACTGGATCTACCGCCAAAACGCAAAAAAGGAAGAAAAAAAGAACACGGCCAATATCTAGCTAGCTTAACCTCGTTTTTTGTTTTTAATGAAGTGTTTATTACTCGTCCTCCGATAGCCAGAGGTAAATGATCAAGATATTTTCCTTTATTTAGCTGCAAAACGGCTGGTGTTGAGTCTTTTCCCGAACACAAATTAAACGTTGCTATTATTTAGGCTTTCGTTGGTAGCGTGCACATATTAAGTCACCATCTTCAGCTGCGTTTATTGTTTTTCTTCCCTATCCAGAACAATATGAAATGACTAGTAAAGACTTTGAGTGCGGATCATCCTGAGATGGTTGAAAAGGATGAGAATACTAAAAGTTACTAACAAGAAGCGTAAGATCCATGAAAGTTAGGTGACCCATACCATTTCTTTACGTCATATGAAGAATATCGGATCTATGACACCTGCGAAAATATAGTGAGCAGCGTCGAGGCAGACTTGCACTTTTGACGTTCCATGCAAAATTAAGGACAAAAGAGAAACAATCCTCCACTCCAATGTTTCTGAGAAGAAAATTTTTTCATGGGTGATTGAAAAAAAAAAAAAAAAAAAAACCAACGTTGTCGGTTTGGACTCCGTCCCTCCCCTCTCTACTCTTGAAGTCTTCTTTCACTAGCTGCCAGTTTACGAGAAGAGAGACTGATGTGGTGACTCCATTTCCCTAAATTTTTACTGCTTGCATGGGATATCAAGAAGATAGAATGATTAATCAAATAGGCTTTGATTAATTGATACTCCAACAGGAGTATCATGGAATTACATTTTAAACTGCAGCAAGAAACTAAAATAGTAGTTAGTACTGGGGTCGAGAGCTTTCACCAGAATATTTTGATGAAATACTCAAGAAAATTCCTCAAATTATTTTGAGGTTGTTACTTTTTATGGCCATATATTTCATCAAAACAGAGAGAAAAAACACATAATGCCTATGTTGTCCATCAAGTTCAGTCTTTTACATCTGTATTTTAAAAGCTGAAGTTGGAAAAACCTAAAGAGGATTCATAAGTCGATTAATTATTCTTGACACACGACAATGGGATACTTTATATTATCATACATTAGACGTACTATGAAAATCTGATTGGTCGAAAGTATTCATCAACATACATTAGCGTGTGAAATTGACATGGTATAACATGTCGAGTTCAAAGTAAACCGAGTTTTCCAGAGGTGAAGCCGCACAAGAGAGATAAAAAAAATGAAATAAAAAAAACAAAACAAAACAAAACACCTCTATGATGTTGTGAAATAGTGAGAAATTGACGAGATTTGCTTGAGAAAACATCTAAACGCCCATCCACCCTTGTAACACAGTTGAAACGACTTTGAAGCTATTTACCAGTCAAGAAGCCATAAAACACGCAGATATAAAAAGAAAGTAATTATTACAGATTACTTAACTACATCGTAAGCTGCATAGGGTTCTTTGTATCATATATTATGATGGTATTGGAAGATGCTTAGGGGCCAGTTATAGATGTGTTACGATTATTTATTCAGACTTTCCATAGTTACGGTAGTAACAATACAATTATGCAATCGATTTTAAATCTAGCTTTTAGTGCCTGCTCCTGAAAAGTTGTATGATAACCATCTTCATCTCTAGCTGAGCTACAAGTTACATATAAAAAATTATTTTTCGACCACTTTTCAAAAATTTCAAACAGTGAGCAGCCCTTAAACTGGTAAAATATTGATTTCGTTTCTCTTCTTTTTTTGCTCATAGTTACAGAGGGCTGAATCATTTGTTTCAAATTACATTTGCTCTGGTTTTTAGCGAAGAAATTTCTTTTATTATTTTACTCTACATGTTTTATTTTCACAAACTTCTAGACGTTTATGTTCCAATACAAAAGCTGACACCATGGGGTTAAAGCAAACAATGATAATCACTATGGGGTCTCACGTCTGTTTTGCAATATAGAAACAAGAAGA